GCGAAGTTTTCGCCAAAGGCTTGCAACCTTCGCGAATCGCAGAGAGCAGGTTTGTCCCCTCTCCCAACAACTAGCTCTCAACGGCAATCCTGCGCGTGCGAGCTGATGAAGATTTTTGAAGAATGACGTAGGCAGTCTTTTTACCGTACACGTAGGTTAGTGAAAGGTGCTGCTGCTGTAGTAAGAGATTCTTCCCTTTGGGGAAACCAATCATCGATGGTTATTAGATTCTCTGAAACGTGGATACTTTCAGCGTGGAGTTCGAGACGAATGATTATGCAAGCAATTCACCTTGGCCATCATTACTTGTGCTTTGGTCTCCAAGCATATCGGAGCTCGCTCATAGTTCCAGCTAGGGAACTCGCTAACTATATATGACTTACTGTGAAATGTGTATTTTATTTATCTTTAAATAGGAGATATATTTCACCATCTATTAACCGTCAATAAAAATTCATATGATATTCACATTTTATTGGTTTTTATATCAATATTACTCAAATTAAATGCTTATGAAACCAGAAATTATGACGATGATACTACAAGATGTCACATATACATCGTAGCATTAGCTCGTGCCTTTGGTTATGGATTTTTTTCACACCCAATTCTACTAGGAACTTTTGATAATCTTTTGGTGGGGATATGGCGTTCTCGTATTTCCCTGCCCGTGTGGCAACAGAACAAAGCTATCGTGCGGGGACCACATTCGATAAACTCTCAGCATCGATAACTCCGTCTTCCCAATCTCAGCTCAGATTCCTCCTCGGACAATACTAGCTTGCCCTGGTGTCATTATTTTGGCCGTCAGCTCAGTGATCTTGCACACCCATTCCCTGAACGGCCGAATCCACGGTTGCGTTACAGTGGGTCCAGGCATGGCTCAGGCCCAAACTTCCCCCATGCCGAACCAGCGAATTGGCTCCGGCCAATCACAGCACAGACAACGGACTCGCGCTTCTAAATGCGGCACCCGTAATCGCTTTGATCATATCCCAGACCTTTCCCGCCCATTAGTCAAGCTTCGGCGGGGATGTGAAACCGCAGAGCTCACTCAGCCGCAAGCGGGATGTGACCGTTGCTGGAGAGCGGCGGAGTCGCAAATTCGGTGCAATCAGGTCGGTTGAGAGAGGTGGATTTGCTGAAGCCTGTGATTCGGTTTAGTGTGCTTCGCTTGGCGTTAGGGAGAGCCGTTTACAACGAGCCATATCTTTCCGAGGCTATAGTCCCGTGAATACCTCTAGCATACGAGGACACCGTCCAGACTACCTACGGAAATTAGCAAAGCAGGATCACCAGTGACACAAATCCGTACTTCATTTACAACAGAAATTTCAGCAGGAACTGGAAAGTTAGATCGCTTTCCGGTGGGGGGGCATCTGGGCGAATTCCACGCATTCATCGCGATTCGGTGGAACGCAGCAACGGACGGTCGAGATGGTGACCGTCTGTGAATAGTGAGCCGATTGTTTCAGCCCTGGGAAACAGTCTTGTTGAGTTACACGATGTTCCAAACCAGTTCAGGCGAGGCGACATATTCTGTCCCGTTGAGCTTCAGGCTGTGCGGGCCGTCTTCTGTGGAAGTCAGGAGAATCTGCTTGTGACACATGTTCATGTAGTGGTTTAAGCTGTACTCTGATTGGCCTGGGTTTACTGCTGAATGAACACTTCGGTCAAGCTTACAGTCATGAATGCCTCCTTTGATCATATGTTTGCTATTCTACCACCAATTTATCTTTGAATATGCCCGAGTTTTGTGAATTGAATTCTGTGTTTTTTTTTCAATTATACCTCCCTTCTCTCTGAACTCACCACACTCTTTCCCATTTGTGTCCGTCTCATCTCCTTACTCCCCTACCTCTCCCACCACGCGCTATTTCATGTACACTCATTGTTTTACTACTCCAATGCTCCATCGACGTGGGCCATGTCTCCATAACGCGTACAGCCGCATCCCCATGCCTCTATCTGTGCAAGAGGTGAACAGCAAGCATTCTCCTTCGTCAACTCTTTCTTTCTCTCACTCACACACATGCACACACATGTTTCCTTTGTTTGTTGCAAGATGTCCATCAATACAGAGATCGTCAAACCCTTCTCCTCTTGTATTTTCCAACTCCCTTCTCAATCCCGCCAGTCAACCCTGCACCCTCTTCCCTTATCCCCATTCGAACTTTCACCTTGCAATTGTTCCATTTCGTATGAGCCCATCCCCTTTCTCTTGTTATACTTGTTCTCCCCTCCCCTTACGTGTCTCTTCTTTCTCTTTTCCTCCAACCAACCCCTCCCCCCCCCCCTTCCCCCCTTCCGCGGCCTCTCCCCTTTGCCCCACTCACTTTCTCCCCCGGATTTCCAGTACCGCATAGGTCAGCTGTACATGGTGGTGCGTGTGAGTGAGAGGGAGAGTGACAATAGCGATGGTGACGGAGTGGAGGTGCTTTGTAACGAGCCCTTTAGCAGGCGGAGGGGGGGGAGGAGGACGAGAAGGTGCTGCTGCTAGCGGCGGCGGTGACAGCAGGAGCAGCAGCAGCGGGGATAGTGGGAAAAGTGATGGGTCTAGGAGCTTGGGGCAGAGGGGTGTGGCAGGGTTTGATAAGGCGCAAGATGGGTTGCAAACTGGCTGTGAGGGAGCGGGTGAGGGGGGAGAAGGGAAGGAGAGAACCGAGGGGGGTCAAATTGGTGAAGGAGAGGGGAGGGGGAAGGGAGATGTTGAGACATTAGACGCAGCTGGTGATACAGAGGAGGGTTACTACACCCACAAGATATATCACCTGAACAAGTGGGTGCCATTTCAAGAACAAAAAAAAAAAAAAAAAAAACTTCTGCTTGTCTGTTCGCATAGGAAACCACTAGTTGTTTCGCCCCATGCACATGCTTACTCATTCATGCCGTCACTCGTGCACACCCCGACAATTGCGCTCCCTCCCTCTCTTGCACCCTCACTCACAGCACCTTTGCTCCGCTCCACACTCTCAATCCATCCCGTCACCTTCCTTTCCCCCCCCCCACCTCCCCTCTCCCGCCCTCTCTTTCCAGGAAGCTGCCGGCATGGATAGCAGCCCTTGTCCCCCGGCGTGCACTGAGAGTGGAGGAGAGGGCATGGAATGCGTACCCGCACTGCGTCACTGGTGAGGGGGGAACTGTTCAGGGGATTGTTCGTGAGACCCGTCAAGTCTTTTGAGACTTCGCATTAGAGCGCCGTTAGAGCGCATGGAACGTGTGCCCTCAGTGTGTCATGCTGAGGTGGTAGGGACCACCTTTGGGGCGTCTTAGCAGTCTTTCGAGATGTCTTATTAGAGTGCCTGGAGTGTGTACTCGCACTGTGTCATTCGTGAAGGGGGGTTGGGGGGGATGAAGAGCGGTGGGGGAGAGGATTGGGAAGAGGTTCTGGGGGGAAGAGGGGAGGAGAATGGAGGGGTGGGGAGAGCGTAGGAGTGTCCCCGTGAGTCAGTCGGTTCATTAGTTGGCTTCGGGTGGAGGAGAGGACCTGAAAAGCATACCCACCTTGTGTCACGAGTGATTGGGAGGGGAAATGCGATGGGGGTGATGTGGTCAGGCATATGTGATGAGTTTACAAAGATGCGTGCAATGCTCCACACGAAACCACACCATTCGTTACCTTTCTACCTTGGGTTGTTTACCGCATCTCTACCTTTCTTCCCTCACTAACTCCCTCCCCCCCTTTCCCTCCTTTTCTCCCTCCCTCCCTCCCTCCCTCCCTCCCTCCCTCCCTCCTTCCCTCCCTCCCTCCCTCCCTCCCTCCCTTCTTCTTTCTTCGCCTGTGTCTGCGTTTCTCCCCATTTTGCAACGGATGCGGTATGAACCCTACCCGGGGACTATGATGCACGTCCTGCGGTGGTCGTTTGTCTCCATCAAAACAACCAGAAATCACAGTAAGGCTGACAGTCCCTCTCCTTCTGTCTTCCCATCCCTCCTCCTGATTCTCGACAAAAGAATTTGATGGCTGTGTGGTTCTGTTGCATGTGAATCTCTTCATGCTATAACCTTTCCATGCAAAAGAGCTCTAGAATTTGAAGGATTATCGGAACCCCGGTTGCTTGTTGCGATTTTTATGCATGCAGCTTTTCCTATACCAATTCAGTCTTATTACTAGTATCACTCCAGCCCTAAGTCTTCTCCATGCCTCCTCTGTCTCCCGTCGCCCATCTCCCGTCTCCCGTCTCCCATCCCCCATCTCCCGTCTCCCATCTCCCATCTCCCATCCCCCATCTCCCATCTCCCATCTCCCATCTCCCATCTCCCATCTCCCATCTCCCATCTCCCATCTCCCGCCTCCCATCTCCCATCTCCCATCCCCCATCTCCCATCTCCCGTCTCCCATCTCCCATCTCCCATCTCCCATCTCCCATCTCCCATCTCCCATCTCCCATCTCCCATCTCCCATCTCCCATCTCCCATCTCCCATTCTCCGTCTCCCATTTCCCGTCTCTCATCCATCAACCGCTGGCTTGGTATCAGAGCCCATTTTTCGGCAAATTTATGCTGCGAGTGGAGTCCCTCTACACTAACGACCGCCACCCGCGCCACAATGTACCCACCTTACCTCACCGCATGTCACCTCACCGCACCTCACCTCACCTCCCTCTCATCTCGTTCCCTGTTCTGCTCCTCCATGTGCTCTTCTTGACCTTGCAATCTGTCCATCCAGCTTTCATCCCACCTGCTGACACTGTAGCAGCTTACCTATAATGATGCCTGCCCGTACTGTCCAATCCGCACACTCTCTGCTTGCTTTCCTTCGTGCCTTCTTCTATTTCTCGTTTCTCCCTGTTCTCTGTCTCGTTACCACATCCCCTCAACTCTGCTTCCCCCTTTTTTCCACCAATCCGCTGACTCTACCCCCTCCTCTCCCCATGTCTCCACATTCCCCGCCTCTCCACCCCTGCTCTCTATCCTCCCTCTCCTTCTGCAACCCTTCCCCTTTCTTCCAATCTTGCTGTTGCATTGCATCCTTCAAGGCTCTCTCGCTCCCCCCTGACATGCTGGCACGGCGCACAGTGGAAACACTGGACATAGCAGAGGGAGGCGGGGAGGAGGGGAGCATGGGGAGGGAGTTGGGAGGAGGACGAGGAGGAGATGGGCGGAGAGCTCATGGCCTGTGTGTGGATGGTGCGATTGCTGATGGGAGTAGCAGCAGCAGGAGCAGTGGCAGCAGCAGCGGCAGTGGTGTGTCGAATCATCCGTCCACGTTTGTTTCGGCTAAGACTGGCAGAGGCCCTTTCAAGCCGGGGTGGCAGGTGGGTCATGCCATGGCATGGCAACTGGGGGGTGAGAGTGCGTGCGTGGCTGTTCTTGGCGGGTGGGGGGTTTAGGGTGTGGGTTCATAGCATGGAAATGTGAAAGTATGTCTGTGTGTGTGCGTGCGTGCGTGCGTGCTCGCACGCATGTGTGTGTGAAAAGAATCGATTATGGAAAAACGAGTCTCAAGAACCACTTCTTACAAAGAGCAAACCTCAAACAACCCCTCTCCCCTTTTCTCCAGGGTGCAGCGCACCCTTGATGACAGCCTACAATATGGTCACAGTGGACGTGCCTTACTAGTCTGAGCCAACTCAACCCCACCCCAGAGCTCCCTCCTCCACCTCCTCCCAGGCTGCCAGGCACACAACACACCCGTAATGACAGCCTACGAGGTGGTCACAGTGGACGTGCCTTACTCGCTTTGAGTCGACTCAACCCTCTGCCTGCGCGCTCCCCCCTCTCAGGCACATAGTACTCCCCTGATGACAGCCTACAAGGTGGTCACAGTGGACGTGCCTTACTGGGGTTTTGGCTCTCGTCTTGAGAAGTACATTGCCAAGGTCAGTGGAGCATAGGGTTTCGGGCTCTGGGACAGGGGGGAACAGGTTCAGCTGCCAGGATACAAGTCTGCTGCAAGCACTATCTGGTGTTCTGAGAAGTCAACCTGAGAAGTCCACCTGAGGAGTCAACCTGAGAAGTCAACCTGAGAAGTACCGGTACAAGGTAAGGTTAGCTGGAAGAGGGTCTCGTTTGCTGCCAGGTTGCAAGCCTGCCTCGAGGCACATAGCAGTGAGATATTAGGGTGGGGATAGTAGGGTGGTATTGCTCGAGTGTGCTGGGGTTCAGGCACTTGGTTCACAAGCATTGTCAGGGTCACTATAGAAAGTGGACAGTTTACCCGTTGTTCCCACTTCTCTCCTTTGCCCACCCAGCCCACACCTCTTTTCGTCTTTCTTTTTCAGTTGTTCCTTAACCTGCAGTTTTTTTATTCGAAACACCACGTACGTGTGTGTGTGTGTGTGTGTGTGTGTGTGTGTGTGTGTGTGTGTGTGCGCGCGCGCGTGCGTGTGTGTGTGCGTGTGTGTGTGTGTGCGTGCGTGTGTGTGCGTGTGTGTGTGTGTGTGTGTGTGGGGGGGGTGCGTGTGTGTGTGTGTGCGTGTGTGTGCATGCATGCGTGCGTGCATGTGTGCGTGCGTGCGTGCGTGCGTGCGTGTGTGTGTGTATGCACGTGCATGAGTGCACGTGTGTGCATGTATGGGTGTGTGTGCACGTCCATGTGTGTGCGTGCATGCATGCATGCGTGCATGCATGCATGCATTCGTGCATGTACACATGTGCCTGCACGCATCTCTGTTCATGGTGAATGTACACATCTCTGCGCACATACCTGCATGCTCTCCTGCATTGCACCACCACAGGTGCTGCAGAGGAGGCTGAGTCTGGAGACGAACCAGGCAGTGGTTTGCTGGATGGACGAGTGGATAGGGCTGTCAGAGCAGCAGGTCAGGGCCATGGAGGAGCACACATTCGCTCGCATCAACAAGGTGGGATGCCTGTGAGAGGCTTGAGTATGCGTAGAAGGGATGATTGGGGAGTTTGATTATTAGCAGGTTAAGGCCATAGAAGAGCACACATTCTCTCGCATCAACCAAGTGCGAGGCCTGTGTTTTTTTAGTCAACTCAAAGGTCGGAGCAGCAGGTTAGGGCCATGAGGACAGCACAGTCACTCGCATCAACAAGGTGTGAGACCTGTGGATTAGAAGGTTTGTGTGTGCCCCTCTCCCGTGCTTGTGTCTCTGCTTTTACCTATGTGCCTCCGACCGTTTACCTCGTACCATTGGCCTTGTTAAGCCATCTCTCTCCACCATCTGCCATCCAATGTGTTCTAAGTGATATGCCATATGCGACTTTGGCTCCGCAATGTACATTTCCCCATGCATTCATGCATCCATGCATCCATGCACCACAGGAGCTCAAAGCAAGGCAGGGCAACCAGAGATAGGCTTTGGAGCAGCAGCAGCAGCAGCATGGCAGCTGTGACTGCATGCCATATGATCCCTGTTGTCAAGCCCTGATGAGGAGAGAGGAGAGGAGAGGAGAGGAGAGGAGAGGAGAGGAGAGGAGAGGAGAGGAGAGGAGAGGAGAGGAGAGGAGAGGAGATGAGACATTGAGTTCACGGTCGGATACTGCGGTGAATACTACCTGCTGGGTCGAGAGGAATAGCATGTGCTGTGGAGTTATGAAGGATCTTCTTGTTCAGCCATTACGAGGGATACTTGCTACCGGTACCATTATCATTCTTTTGGTTGATTATACAGTGTGAATGCAGAGAACAGAAGAACAGAGTGGAGTGAACATGTTTCAATATCAGACACGAGCAATATCAGGTTCTCTCGTACTACCGTACATACAACAGCATATATATGCGAGGTCTGGATAGCGTCGCCAAATTTGTTTTATCACATATTTGAAGGGGACTATCAGCTGTTTTGTGTACATTACATTGAGAGAACTCAAATCAGGTTTCATGAAGTGGTCACAGCAGGATTTGTGTGCATCCCTGCTGTAACGGTAACCAACCACTACGGTAATGAATCTCAAAATGAATCTGAGATATGATGAATGTATCAAACACTGTACAAAAAGGCTGGCTGCTGTTACCACCATGACCCATCTGGCTTACGTGGCAGCCACCCATTGGCTGAGCTCTTGACAAAGCTCCAGTGATCCCAGCCTGTGTCACATTAGGGAATTTGGCACAATTTGCATTGGAGAGCATGGATGGGAGGGGGGGATTATGAGGGGGAAGAAAAGACGGTTGGGAGGAATGGCAGGAGGAAGAGGTAAGGTAAGTGTGCAATGTGGTCAGGTGAGGGAGGTGAGGGAGGGGAGGGAGGTGGTGAGGGAGAGGGCGAGGGAGAGGGTGGTGGAGAGAAGGTTAAGAGGAGAGGCAGAACAGGATGCAAGGCAGAGGGCAAGGGGAGAATGCAGAAAGAGTTAAAGTAATGGATGGAGGAGCTAACGTGCTACGGGATTGAGGTGAGAGACTGTGTTGCTTTTGAAATGAACAGCTTGTGAGATTTTTTTAAAGCAACTCAGGTTTCAGCAGCTACCTCAATCCAAGCACTGGTGTGCTTGTAACGAGAGTCTCACCTGAGATGTTGTGCTTGTAAGACCAGAAGAACCAGCCAGCCTTGGCTGTGGAGAAGGCTTTGAGCTGGTTTAGGCCGAACTGGGCTGTGACTGAGGGGTCTGGGTTGCGCATTGACAGACACCACTCTCCTACTAGCACTGGCATTCCCCACTGTGTTCAGTGGGCGGGAGAGAGGGAGAGGGAAGAGAAATGTAGAGACAAAGAGGGTGATGAGGGAAGGGGGAGAGGTGGGGTGGTGGAGGAGGGAAAAAGAGTGGACAGGGAAGAGCGGGGAACAACAAGAAGGGGAAGGATGGACAAGACATGTAACAACAAGACAGGGTCCCCTCCCCACACCCTCTCTCCCACCACCCCAACCTTCCCTCCCTCCTCCCCTTCATCTCCCCTCTCTCTCCACTCTCGTGTTTCTCTCCTCTGACTCCCATCCTTCTCCCTCCCCAACCCTCTCCCCTCTGCTCCTTCCCTCCCCATTCCCTCCCTTCTATCCCTGCCCCCCCAACCCCTTTTCCCACCCAATCTCACCGATTGTAGCCCCTTGATTTCTTCCAGTCGCCCCGTTAGCGTCTGATCCACCTCCTGCTGAGGAGTCAGCCCGTCCCATCCATAGAACACATTATACATGTGCTGCTCCAGCACTATATTAGTATGCCACGTGCCATACAGCAACCAGTGCACCTCCCATATAGAGCTCCCCACGCGCCCCTCTAAAGCGATGTACGCGCACGGTGAGTACTTCCGAACGACATCGTACGCGCTCTTATAGTACCACGACAGAAGGTCGATAGATATTCCCGACATTAGCCCGTAATTCCACGGCGCGAGAGGCTCGTTCATCAATCCGAGCCCGAGAAAAGCCGGATCGGCAGCGTAACGCTTAACTAAAAACTCGATCATATCCAGAGTCCGCACGGTGTTGTTCCGCACAGAAAACTCGCAGAGGCCAGACCTCCCGCCGAGAAACCCCGAATTCGTGCCGAAGACTGCATGAGGAGAGAACCACACGCGAATCCCATACTTATTCGCCATCCGGAATGCCCAATCTAGAGAAGCAAGAGCTCCGGAGGGAAAGGGGAATTCTGAAGGCGAGATGGCAGGGCTTTCCATGATCCAGTATCCCACGGGGATGCGCACGGTGTTGATTTTGTTGGCAGCCATGGTTTGGAAGTCGGATTCCGAGAGGTAGGCAGAGCGAAAGGAGGCCATGGGCTGGGCTGCTGCCTGTGGGCCGCCCAGGGACTTGGCGTACTGCCACTCGCCGTTCACCTGGTTGGTCTGGTTTGAGGGAGAGGGACAGGGTGGGGAGAGGGAGGCGGTGAAAGGGTGAGTGTGTTGGTGGGGGTTGTGAGTGCAAAAAGGGTTGGGCTGCTGCTTGTGGGCTGCCTAGGGACTTTGAGAACAGCAGAGATTGGTTGCTACAAGGTTGCTACTTTACACAGAGAGTGGTTGGGAGTACCCACACCACTCAGACACCTTCTCACACACCCTCATACACACCCACACAGACGACCCTCGCATTCACCATCCCCTCCCCCCACTCCCCCTCCTCACACAAACGCCGCCTCACCAGCTCGACTTTAAACACGGCTGCTGACTCCAAGCAAGGGGCCGAGGGCAGCAGTTGAGGGTCCAAGGCGGCGATGAGAAGGCCGGAGGTCCCCCCCACCCACTCCCCCAACTCCCCCGTCCCCCCTTTCCCACCCCCTTCCCCCCCACACACCCATACTGTTGCCTCACCAGCTCGACTTTGAAAACGGCAGCTGATTCCAAGCGAGAGGCTGAGGGCAGCAGCTGAGGGTCCAAGGCGGCGATTAGGAGGCCGGAGGTCGCCCTCAAGCCCTTCCCCCCACTTCCCCCCCTCCCCTCCCCATATTTTCCTCGCTGTCCCCCCCACGCCAAAACACTGCTGTCTCACCAGCTCGACTTTGAAAACCGCTGCAGACTCCCAGCGAGAGGCCGAGGGCAGCAGCTGAGGGTCCAAGGCGGCGATGAGAAGGCCGGAGGAGGAGGGGAGGAGGTATTTGCCGTTGGGGGCGAGGATGAGCGCAAGGGAGTAGCTGCTGTTGCTGAAGACGAAGGTGAAATTGCTCCAGCCCTGATGGGGTATGTGTGCAGTGCAGTGCAGTGCAGTGCAGTGCAGTGCAGAGGGGGCATGCAGGGAGGGAATATTGAGTCAACTAAGTGTAAATACACCAGGGAGAGAAGCTGGGGTTGAAGAGGAATGTGAAATTACTCTAGCCCTGGTGGTGTGTGCATGCAAAGTAAGGGAGGCATGCATGTGAGGGTGAGGGGGTATATCAAGATGGAATTGAAGCGCATAAGAGGAGGGAGGGGAGTGTGCAATGCAGTCCATCCTCGGCACGTTACTCGCTCTCTCTCTCGCTCACTCACTCGCTCGCTCACTCACTCACTCACTCACTCACTCACTCACGCACATGAGCAAATCACCTACATTGGGCTGTGGGTCCATGAATGAAGCAACCAGTGTTCCGTTGTCTGTCTGCTAGGGGGGCCGTGGGGTTAGTCTCACCGCCCTAAAACACACGTATCTGTCTACTGAGTTGAAGGACGTAGGACCTACATTGGGCTGTGGGTCCATGGATGTGGCAACCAGTGTTCCGTTGTCTGCCAATGACCAGAACTGCAGGCCTTCCACTAGCACCTGCTCACATGCACGCATGGATGGATGAAAACTGAGGGTTAAGGGACGAAGACAGGAGGCTCAGAAACAAACAGAGGCTGGGGGTAACCAACAGAGGCTGGGGGTAACCAACAGGAGGTTCCAGCATCAAGGACTAGTAAGATGTTTTTCTTGAATCGTCTGGATAAATTGGCAGCTCACACGGCAAGAAACGATGTAGCGCGCATAACATTACATAAGTACATGCGTACATGCGTACATGTCAGCATGGCAGCATGGCAGCACCATCGATCAGCAAATGGTACCGTCGTTACTAAGGGATTGTCGATTCCCTAAGGCGCCTCACAATGAGACTTAAATGCTTATCGTGTGCTGCTCACCCGCATGCTCCTCACCCGCATGCTCCTCACCCGCATGCTCCTCACCCGCATGCTCCTCACCTGCACGGTGCCATCGTCGTTGATGAGGGCCCGGAAGTTGTTGTATATGTTGGTGCGACTGGCCTCTGTGCTCGTGATCTGGGGGGCGCGGGGGGAAGGCGAGGGGCGAGGGGCGAGGGGCGAGGGGCGAGGAAAAGAAAAGCGGAGGGGAGGGGATGGGGAGCGAGGGGGGAGGGGAAAGCGGTGAGGGTAAATGGGCCAAGGGGCACGTGGTAGTGGGATATCCAAGTGGCAGGAGAGAGGGCGAGTAGTAAATGGGTGAAGGAACGCGAGGGGTGCAATGCGATGCGAGCACAAGAAGGTGAGAAAGCGGTAGGGGATGTTCTAGGAAGCAAACAACAGCACCGCCTGCCATGCTTTCAGGGAAGGAGAGGCGACAGAAGGAAAATGTTTTCAGAGAAAGGAGAGGCGGAGCGGGAGGCGGAGGGGAAGGAAGAGCAGGATGGGAGGGGGGGAGGGATGGGGAGGGGAAGGGGAGGGGAGGGGGAGGGGAGGGGGAGGGGAGGGGGAGGGGAGGGGATGTACCAGGGAGCCTCCGCCATCAGTGGCAGTAACCCATGTGGTGAGCTTGAGCGGCTGCAGGCGAAACTGTGGGCGAGGGCGTGACAGGAGAGGGAGACATGTGCATAGGTTGAGCCAAAAGAGGCTCAGAGAGGGTGAGGGGAAGGAGGAATCAGGTTGGGTTCTCGAGAATGCAGTGCTTGAAATGCCTACAGGCAGAGAGTGGAGCGGACAGGAAGCGCGAGAGGTTTATACTCATGGCTTCAGCTGAACCAACAGACACCACACACATCCCTACAACCCCACACACCTGCACCCCCCCACACTCCCACAACCCCACACTCCCCCACGCGCCACAACTCACCGCAGTGCCGTCCTTCCACTGTTTGGGATTTGGGTACCACCCAGGCACCATCCAGCTCTCAATGACCAGCCACGACCCGAGGTTCACCCCGCGAATCGCCGGCACCACCGTCACCTCCCTTATCTCAAACTCCTCCCACGAGCTCGCTGTGCTCGTCCACCGGTACAGCGCATTCCCCTCGTTGCTTATCACCATGCCGTCTGCTGCGGACCGGAAGGCCACGCGGAAGGTGCCGGTGCCGCGCGGCTCGATAGAGAAGACGGTGGCGGGGTCGGCGCGGGAGGGCGTGGTGTCCATGACTCCGTAGGTGGTGGACCAGGGGGCCTGGGGGGGCCCTGCGCGGACGAACGCGCCTGAGAGGGTCACGAGGCGGATCTGGGAAGGGGGGAGAGGGGGAAGGGGGGAGAGGGGGGAAGGGGGGAGGGGGGAAGGGGGGGGGAAGGGAGGGGGGATGGGGGGGGGAAGGAGGGGGAAGGGAGGGGGGATGGGAGGGGGGGGAGGGGGGGGGGGGAAGGAGGGGGGAAGGGAGGGGGGATGGGAGGGGGGAAGGGAGGGGGGAAGGGAGGGGGATGGGAGGGGGGGGATGGGAGGGGGGATGGGAGGGGGGATGGGAGGGGGGATGGGAGGGGGGATGGGAGGGGGGGAAGGGAGGGGGGATGGGAGGGGGGATGGGAGGGGGGAAGGGAGGGGGGATGGGAGGGGGGAAGGGAGGGGGGATGGGAGGGGGGAAGGGAGGGGGGATGGGAGGGGGGAAGGGAGGGGGGATGGGAGGGGGGAAGGGAGGGGGGATGGGAGGGGGGAAGGGAGGGGGGAGGGAAGGGGGGGGAAGGGAGGGGGGAAGGGAGGGGGGATGGGAGGGGGAAGGGAGGGGGGAAGGGAGGGGGAAGGGAGGGGGGATGGGAGGGGGGAAGGGAGGGGGGATGGGAGGGGGGAAGGGAGGGGGAAGGGAGGGGGATGGGAGGGGGGAAGGGAGGGGGGATGGGGGGATGGGAAGGGGGGAGGGAGGGGGGATGGGAGGGGGGAAGGGAGGGGGATGGGAGGGGGGAAGGGAGGGGGGATGGGAGGGGGGAAGGGAGGGGGGATGGGAGGGGGGAAGGGAGGGGGGATGGGAGGGGGGAAGGGAGGGGGGATGGGAGGGGGGAAGGGAGGGGGGAAGGGAGGGGGGAAGGGAGGGGGGATGGGAGGGGGAAGGGAGGGGGAAGGGAGGGGGGAAGGGAGGGGGATGGGAGGGGGAAGGGAGGGGGGGGAGGGGGGAAGGGAGGGGGGAAGGAAGGGAGGGGGGAGAGGGGGGAAGGGGGAGAGGGGGGAAGGGGGGAGAGGGGGAAGGGGGGAGAGGGGGGAAGGGAGGGGGGATGGGAGGGGGGAAGGGAGGGGGGAAGGGAGGGGGGATGGGAGGGGGGAAGGGAGGGGGGGAAGGGAGGGGGGATGGGAGGGGGAAGGGAGGGGGGAAGGGAGGGGGGATGGGAGGGGGGAAGGGAGGGGGAAGGGAGGGGGGAAGGGAGGGGGGAAGGGAGGGGGGATGGGAGGGGGGAAGGGAGGGGGGATGGGAGGGGGGATGGGAGGGGGGATGGGAGGGGGGGATGGGAGGGGGATGGGAGGGGGGAAGGGAGGGGGAAGGGAGGGGGGATGGAGGGGGGATGGGAGGGGGGATGGGAGGGGGGATGGGAGGGGGGATGGGAGGGGGGATGGGAGGGGGGATGGGAGGGGGGATGGGAGGGGGGAAGAAAGGGCGAGAGAATGGGAGGGAAGCAGGTGGACTTTGGAGTCGTCTTAAAGATACAAAGTGCCACGCGGAAGGTGCCGCCGTGCCGGCACCGCGCGGATAGAGAAGATGGTGGCGGGGTCAGCGCTGAGAATTCCCAATGGTGATTTAACATAACAAAGTACCATTCAGAAGCACCGGCTCTTTGCAGCTCACCTGGTTGGGCGCGAGGCCAGGAGCGCGCACAACGCGGAAAAAGTCGGGGGGCGGGTCTAGTTACCCGGAGGAGACAGCGGCGGAGGGGCGTTGAGAATTCTTGACTTGAAGGCGGTACAACACATGGCTCACCTGGTTGGGCGCGAGGCCAGGAGCGCGCTCAACGCGGAAGAAGTCAGAGGCGGGGGGGCGGGTCTTATTGCCCGCGAGGATGAACGCGGACCAGCTGCCGTTGCTGCCTGGCCCCCACCACGTGCCCCGTGGGCGAGCGGATCTGGACCTGCGGGGCGCGCGGCAAGGTTAGGAAATGGAGGGGGAAAGGAGGGAAGTGGGCTTTGAGATGTTTCCAGACACCACGTGCCCCACGTGGGCGAGCGGATCTGGACCTGCGGGGCGCGCGCGCGAGGGGAAGTGGGTGGGAGAGAGAAGAAGGGGGGAAAAGGGGGGAGAAAGTGATGAGACTGTTAGAATATATCCTATGATGTTATAGTTGTGCTAGTGTTACACCCAATTCTGGGTGTACACTTTGTTCGAGGCGCCCCAACCACTTTGGTTTGGGGCACCCCAACCCCCGTTATGCCACAATTATTGGGGGCCACTTTGGTGGCCCTTGCCAACCAATTATTGGTCCGCCAATAATTGGTGGCTCATCCCAACCATTATTGGGCAGCCAACAATGTTGGCCAGCCAATAATTCTGTGGCAGCCTACTTTCCTCACTATTCCTTCTCCTATGTAAGCCCAATGTTTCCTTAATACAATCAACTCTTGAGTTCACCCCTTCATCCCAACTATGGGATTCTCACATGGTATAGAGCTATTTTGGCTAACGCCACCTTCGTCCTCCCTAGGAGATCCTCGGCCTCTTGCCGGCTTCATGGTCTTTGCCCCACCAGCCTGCTCTCCTCCCTCAGGCTTTTCCCCGTGGCATTTGAGGCGCTTGTACGCGCCTACCACTTCGCCCGTCGATTCCGCTTCCGAAGGCGTTTTGCCCGTCAATCCCGCTCCCGAGGGCATTTCGCCCGTCAATCCCGCTCCCGACGGCATTTCGCCCGTCAATCCCGCTCCCGACGGCATTTCGCCCGTCAATCCCGCTCCCGACGGCATTTCGCCCGTCAATCCCGCTCCCGACGGCATTTCGCCCGTCAATCCCGCTCCCGACGGCATTTCGCCCGTCAATCCCGCTCCCGACGGCATTTCGCCCGTCAATCCCGCTCCCGACAGCATTTCGCCCGTCAATCCCGCTCCCGACGGCATTTCGCCCGTCAATCCCGCTCCCGACGGCATTTCGCCCGTCAATCCCGCTCCCGACAGCATTCATTCGCATCGTCACCCCCTTCCAAGGGCCATCCAGCCCACTTCCCCCTTCCCCTCGCTTCCTCCTCCTTCGGGCCATCCAGCCCACCTCCCCCTTCCCCCTCGCTTCCTCCCCCTAAGGGCCATTCCGCCCTTCTCCCCCTTCCCCCTTGCTTCCTCCCCCTAAGGGCCATTCCGCCCACCTCCCCATTCCCCCTCGCTTCCTCCTTCGGGCCATCCAGCCCCCCTCCCCCTTCCCCTCGCTTCCTCCCCCTAAGGGCCATCCAGCCCACCTCCCCCTTCCCCTCGCTTCCTCCTCCTTCGGGCCATCCAGCCCACCTCCCCCTTCCCCCTCGCTTCCTCCTCCTTCGGGCCATCCAGCCCCCCTCCCCCTTCCCCCTCGCTTCCTCCTCCTTCGGGCCATCCAGCCCACCTCCCCCTTCCCCCTCGCTTCCTCCTCCTTCGGGCCATCCAGCCCACCTCCCCCTTCCCCCTCGCTTCCTCCTCCTTCGGGCCATCCAGCCCACCTCCCCCTTCCCCCTCGCTTCCTCCTCCTTCGGGCCATCCAGCCCTCCTCCCCTTCCCCCTCGCTTCCTCCTCCTTCGGGCCATCCAGCCCCCCTCCCCCTTCCCCCTCGCTTCCTCCTCCTTCGGGCCATCCAGCCCTCCTCCCCCTTCCCCCTCGCTTCCTCCTCCTTCGGGCCATCCAGCCCTCCTCCCCCTTCCCCCTCGCTTCCTCCTCCTTCGGGCCATCCAGCCCACCTCCCCTTCCCCCTCGCTTCCTCCTCCTTCGGGCCATCCAGCCCACCTCCCCCTTCCCCCTCGCTTCCTCCTCCTTCGGGCCATCCAGCCCACCTCCCCCTTCCCCCTCGCTTCCTCCTCCTTCGGGCCATCCAGCCCACCTCCCCCTTCCCCCTCGCTTCCTCCTCCTTCGCTTTCCGCCGCAGCAGCCCTCCTGCTGCCGCCACCGTTTCCCTTCCGCCGCAGCAGCCCTCCCGCTGCCGCCGCCGTTTCCCTTCCGCCGCAGCAGCCCTCCCGCTGCCGCCGCCGTTTCCCTTCCGCCGCAGCAGCCCTCCCGCTGCCGCCGCCGTTTCCCTTCCGCCGCAGCAGCCCTCCCGCTGCCGCCTCCGTTTCCCTTCCGCCGCAGCAGCCCTCCCGCTGCCGCCGCCGTTTCCCTTCCGCCGCAGCAGCCCTCCCGCTGCCGCCGCCGTTTCCCTTCCGCCGCAGCAGCCCTCCCGCTTCCGCCGCCGTTCCCCCTTCGCCGCCGCAGCCCTCCCGCTGCCGCCGCCGTTCCCCCTTCGCCGCCGCAGCCCTCCCGCTGCCGCCGCCGTTCCCCCTTCGCCGCCGCAGCCCTCCCGCTGCCGCCGCCGTTCCCCTTCGCCGCCGCAGCCCTCCCGCTGCCGCCGCCGTTCCCCCTTCGCCGCCGCAGCCCTCCCGCTGCCGCCGCCGTTCCCCCTTCGCCGCCGCAGCCCTCCCGCTGCCGCCGCCGTTCCCCCTTCGCCGCCGCAGCCCTCCCGCTGCCGCCGCCGTTCCCCCTTCGCCGCCGCAGCCCTCCCGCTGCCGCCGCCGTCTCCCTTCGCCGCCCCTCCCGTTGCCGCTCTGGCCTTTCCGTCTCCGCCGCCCTCGCCTCCTCTGCTGCGCCCTCTCCCGTCGCCGCTCCTCGCACCTTCGGCTGACTTGCGCCCTCACCTGCAGCTTCCGCTGCCGCACCCCCCTCCCCCCTTTCTCCCCCCCTCCTTCGGCCCCGGCTTCCTCATTCCGGGGTTGTGCACCACTATAACATTCATATGCTACGGGGTTGTGTTAGAATATATCCTATGATGTTATAGTTGTGCTAGTGTTACACCCAATTCTGGGTGTACACTTTGTTCGAGGCGCCCCAACCACTTTGGTTTGGGGCACCCCAACCCCCCTTATGCCACAATTATTGGGGGCCACTTTGGTGGCCCTTGCCAACCAATTATTGGTCCGCCAATAATTGGTGGCTCATCCCAACCATTATTGGGCAGCCAACAATGTTGGCCAGCCAATAATTCTGTGAGCTTATCTCCTAGTTTCCTCACTATTCCTTCTCCTATGTAAGCCCAATGTTTCCTTAATACAATCAACTCTTGAGTTCACCCCTTCATCCCAACTATGGGATTCTCACAAAGACACCACGTGGCCCACGTGGGCGAGCGAATCTGAGCTTGCAGGGCGCGCGGGCAAGGAAGAGAAAATGGAGGGGGAAGGAGTGAAGGGGGATTTGAGACGTCTCCAGAGACACCACGCGCCCCACGTGGCCCACGTGGCCCACGTGGGAGAGCGAATCTGGGCCTGCGGGCAGCGCGATTGGGAACGAGAAAAGGGAGGCAGAAAGGTAGCATTGAGACACCTCAACTTAATACCTTGTGGGAATTCTCAAAGCTGTCCCCTGTTGGATTCTCAAAGCCTACAACTCACTCTCCATCCTCCTCTCCCTGCCCTCTTTCCACACCCTCGCTCACTTCCCCTTCCATTCCCCCTTCCGCCCTCCCCTCCTTCCCCCTTCCCTCTCCGCCTACCCGTGCGCCATGGGGCATGGCGGTGGACAGCCATTCGCTCTTCATCACCGCCTCCCCCTCCGCCGGTTGCGCCGCGCTGCTGCAGCACACTGTCGCGCACGGCGTATCCAGCGCGGACTGGGAAACGGGGGGAGGCGGAGACGGCGGAGGCGGCGACGGCGGTCGCGGCGGCTTCGGTGGAGGCGGAGACGGCGGGCGCGGGGGTGGCCGGGGGGGCGGCCTCGGGGGCGGCCTTGGCGGCGGGCGCGGGGGAGGGCGCGGAGGCGGGCGCGGGGGAGGGCTGGGCGGAGGGCGGGGAGGGGGTGAGCGGGGGAGCTTGGGTCTCGTTTTTGTTGCGAGCGCTCGCGACGTGACGCGTCGAAGGAACCGCGCGACGGATGCGAAGGGCGCTGCGAGTACTGTGAATGCAGTCGGGGTGGTAGGCGAATCTCCTTCTATCCCGCGCGCCGCGGGCGCCAGCTGCTGCTGCATTTGCGGCGCCTCAAAAATCGACTGCTGCTGCGGCTGCGGCTGCGGCTGCGGCTGCGGCTGCGGCTGTTTCTGTCGACCCTCCATTGCCCGGCCGTTACCCTTCTGCTGCTGCTGCTGCTGCTGCTGCTCGCGTTCGCGCTCGCGATCGTGTGTTCCGTCGCATTCCGAGTGCGGCTCGGAGCCGTGACGGCATTGGTCGGACGGGACTGTGCTGCCGGTGACACGCAGACCCGCCGGAAGGAGCGCGTCGACGACTAACCGGCGGCTGCTGCGGAGCGACGCGGCGGGATTGGCGGTCGTGTCAGCACCATGAGACGCGGCGGAATTGACGCCGTTTTCTACGGTCTCCTCGGGGGAAATTAAAGTGGATTGCACGAGAGGAGCGTGCAGCAGTAGCGCCGCGGAAAGCGGAAGGAGGAGGAGTGGGAGGAGATGAAATTGGTAGAGATGGTAACGGCAGCGGTGATGGCTGTGGTCGAACTTTCTACCGCCGCGGAAATCCCGCCGTGATTCGCGGCATTGGCGTCGATGCTCTCGTGGTTTCATCGTGAAAGAGAGCTACTACGTCTGACGTACCTCGCAACGGGGCCCGACTTACACTAAACTTATACCATCCGCGGCAGGAAGCCTAACTAGGCAGTAGTAGCCCCCAGCAAAGCAAGGAAAGATCTGTTCGTCGCAAAGCACAGTACCGTGCATTGGTTGTTGAATTGCGGAGAGCAGGCAGCAGCCATCTCTTCGTGTTTGCCTAGTCTCGCGCTCGCCGTGAATGAAGGATGAAGCGTTCCTGATCGGTGGTGGTGGTGTGGCGTGGCGTGGTGGTGGTGGTGGTTGGTTGGGGAGAAGTGAACAGTGTACACGGGGAAGAAAGGAGGGAGGTGGAACTGTGTGGAAGCTCACCGACGGCGCGGATGGGGCTGGAGGATCAGGTGAATACATACACCTGGCTGCCCGTCAGGTCGTGTTTCTGCGACTGGCTGGATTCAACTGGGTGGAAATAGTCGATTTTGAGGGGTCCAGAAATCCGGACTGGCTAAGTGCTGGTTTAGTTTCCGTAAGGGAGACTGTTAGTTGAATAGTAAGAATGTATGCGGTGCGCAAGCCACACATGATGATGGAGAATTCAATCTCTTTCAGCTGGATTGACCGACACACAAAACACAAAGCGACAAGAGCAACGTGGAATTTGTTGTCGTCGTGAGGTGGACGGTCGGATTCTACATCGCTATGTGGGTCCTCTTTACACTGTCAGTACAGTAACATAATTTCATCTTTCTTTCCGTAATCAAAACATTTGTGTGACATTTGTGTGAATAGCTAATAGTGGCACAATGAACTTCAGTATCACTATAGGGATATGGCCCATTACATTAATTCAGCTACCAGACTCAAATTCCTGACAGCAGACCAATATACAGACGCATGTATTGCTTCACACGGTCTCACCCACCCCCCTCATTTCTTCACCTTCTGCGGCATACGTTGAATCACCAGCCTTCCGCTGTTCGCCTTATCCCCAACAATCGTTTGGCACGACAACCGCCAGCTCTCAGGGCGTTTCTTCAGGAAACGATCCTCCGCCTCGGTCCGTCCGCTCAACAGCTCCGCACCCGCAACGACGTCCACAATGCAGGTCCCGCAATTTCCCGCACCGCCACAGTTCATAAGCGAACCGTACATGTCGTACAGCGGAACCTTCGCGTCGACCATCGCACGTCGCAGATTCTTCTCTCCGCTCCCGATGGTGACAATCTGGGCGTTAGCTGGTGGCTTCGCGGATGAATCCTCAGAATTAGGAGTTTCAGCGGCAGCTGCAGCCCATGCAGCCGCTTCGGTGGCTGACGTGGCAGTGTTACCATCCGGGGGGAGGAAACACATATCAATGGTAGGAGGAGACGAGTTTGCGACTGTCGTGGAGTCGACTGTGGTCCCTGCCTCAGAGGAGCTTTCAGCACGTGCTACTGATGTGACGAGGCGACGATGAGATGTTAAAGCTAGATTGGTGGATGATAGTCGGAAAGTAGGTGTGCTTCTGGTGAGCGGAAGGGAGCAGGGCTTGCTGGGATACACGATGGAGAGGAAGCAGATGGAGGATGTAGCCATGGTAATCAGCTACTGAAGTGCTCCGCCTCCTAAACTTGGCAGGACTTATGCTTGTTATGCTGTTGATGATCGTGCAACAGAAGACGCGGTGAAAATATAGAGCTCAGAAACAAAAGTAGCGGCAAATGCGTGATTGGAGCTTTGACGAATGTCCAGTGGAATCACTTTGCCACGCAGTCGTTACTCCGACGACTTTCTGGAGAACGGGTTGTATTAGTGGCTGGAAGGTGCGCCTACGTGTTCGGTCAAAACGCAACCTTCCAGGTCGACGTGGAGGCCAATGAGAGTGTTCCATGTTGTTCATATGGTCGTCTGCGTAAAACACCAACGTGCCCCAATTCGTGTGGAGGATAGTTAGTACAAAAGTGAACCTGGAGCTCTAACGCCTTAATGAAACATCCTATAATAGATACAAGCGGGAGAAACTGACAACCCACGAAAACTGGCCGTCCCTCGCACTTGCCTCCCACCTGCTATGTTCGCCGAATGTGGGAGAGACTTTTGTGAATGGGGTGGGAAGTGGAAACAGTACAGTATGAAGAATGGAGGAATGCGGGAACGCGACCCGCATGCAGCGAAGAACCGAGCGGCTGTCCAAGTTGAGAGGTCGGGACCGATCACCCTCGGGGTTAGAGCAGATTTTGTAAGTTTTAGAAACGATAAGCCTAGTTCCGATGCGGTTTCGTTCTGGTTTAGCCCTCGAATATTGATTTTGCTTACAGATAGCTCCGCTAAACTGCAACCTGCCCAATCCGATACACCCGAACACCCCCTCTCAGCGCACCACTTCCCTACCCCTACCCAAGCCTCCCTTTCCCAACCAAAACGGGGCGTCTGTAGCTTGTGTCTGTTGTATGTGGGGGAAGGCTTCTATAGCATGCTACTTAGCTGCATTTCCGTCGAACAAGCCCACAGGTTCTGTTGCACAACCTGTGCCTGTTTTGCGGCTGGGATCGCCCGCATGACTCGGAGAATATCACCAACATGTTCCTTCCAGTTCCAGTAGCTTCTCATTCGTGATCCTTTTTCAGACTCGACTATCTATTTCAAGTGGGTTCTGCCTTGAGCTGCGGTTGAACGCCAGGCAATAAATCAAAGCATTCTAGCTTGAGGTCCGTTATAATCATTTTCTGGTAGCGATCGGCTGAGAGGAGTGTACAACTGTTTATTCTCAAGCTCCAGCTCTTTCTCCCCTTCTTGTTTTCTGTTGTTTTTTCCCTTGTTTCTTTGTTTGTTTGATTGTCTTTTTTTTACGTAGACCTTGAACATTGTCTCAACTGGCACGAGCCATACTGAACTCTTTTTATTCTTGTACATCTATTACCACATTGTTTCACGGTCTGCTCCTCCAGCGAGCACCGGCATCCTGCTCGTATCCTATAATTCACCACTCGCCATTCCCGCCATTTCATGCTCCCTAGTCTGATTTGTGACTTCTAATACCGATCCCGTTCTTCAGTTCTGAGATAACGTCTAATCTCGCGCACATCTCGCGCTCTGATTTTGCGCATTCAATCAACCTCCCGCGCGTTGCTTGTTCCCACGTTTCTCCTCCCGCATGTATCAGCGATTCTGCCTTGCCTTGCTGTTTTGGACCCCTCCGAAGGGCCCAGCACGAAGAGAATGGGGGCGAACCAGTCTGTCAATGACGACTCGGATTCAGGATCAGACGAGGAAGAGGAGACACGGAGAGGAGAGCACGAGGAGGACGAGGAGGAAGAGGATCGCGGCAGCTCTGATGACGAGTCACGCGAAGGCGTAGACGATGGCGAAAAGCCGCATGGCGAACGTCGCGGGAAGTTACCAGGAGGAGGGGAACGGGGAAGGGGTCTCGTGGGGCAAGACGGAAGGTCTGGGGGGTTGGTTGTTGCGCGCGGTGGGCCTAATTCCGAGTCTAGTCAATCAACGCAGCCTGAGAAGCATCAATACTCCGGCAATGCGAAAGACCTAACAGTTGAAAAAGCGTGGCTGTTAACGAACAATGGCGAAAGATTCACTCACGTGAATGGACCAAACGGTTCAGGCGGGAGGCGGAGTAACTCAGAGCTAACGCATGGCCTGAATGGAAATGGCATTGGGGAAACCAGGAGCGCCAGTAGAACCGCTGGTGATCCTTCCAGTATCAGTGCCTCTGCTTCTGCTGCTGCTGCTGCTGGTGATGGTGACAGTGCTTGTGCCGGTGGGGTGTTGCTATTGGAGCAGGAACCGGAGGTGAGTCCGTTTCGGCAGTCTCAGCTGCCAGTGGAGCCACAACACAATTCCCCTCAGTCCTCTCTCTCCGGCCCCCCACCCCATGACATGCCGCCCTCCGTCCGCCTCTTGCCTCCCACCGCCGCTGCCCCTGCTGCTGCCAGCAGTGGCAGTGCTGCCAGTGGCGCGTCTGCTGCTGCCGCTGCTGATGCTGCCACTGCTGTTGATGTGGCCCTGAAGGGGTTGGTTCAGAGGAGAGTGGGTGCTGATGCTGCCGGTGATGCCAGCTCTGGCAGTCGCAGTCGTAGCAGCAGCGGCGGCAGCACCAGCAGCGCGGCAAGCAGCAGCAGTAGCGATGGCTTTGGTGGGAAGCTGGGAGGGGAGAGCAGCGATGGTGCCGACAGCCGCAGCAGCGTCAGCCTTAGCCCCAGCGGTGGTGGTGACGGTGCGGGATTTGCCACCAGCAGGAGTATCGCTAGCAGCTTGGGAACTCCTGAAGAGCTTTCTCTGAGCCACATGCTTAAGCCTAGCCCAGCGGTTGTTGATGCTCTAGCAGCGTTGGAGGGGGAGGGCGAGGAGAAGAGAGGGAGAACAGGAGAGAAGGAGCAGTGGAGGCTGACAGGTGCCGAGCTGGTGAATCCGGTTAGTAATGGGGTTATAGTGGCAACTGTAGGAGCAGCTGTTGGAGAGACAGCGTCAGAGAATGCGTTGGCTGCAGGCGGGGATGATACTGCCGCTGCTGCCACTGCCGCTGCTGTCGCCGCTGCTGCTGCTGCTGGTGCTGGTGGTGGTGGGAGTCTGGCTAATGGGGAGAAGCAGGAGGGGGAGAACGGGCAGGCAGGAGCAGCAGGAGCAGCGGCAGGAGCAGCAGGAGCAGCGGCAGCAGGAGCAGCGGCAGCAGCAGCAGCAGCAGTGTCGTCGCAGGCGTGGCGGGGACTGATGGACGCTCAGGTTGATGTGATGAGTGTGTCTCGCCCTCTCTCCTCGCACCCCTTCCTGCACACCACCTTCACCCCCAGCGACTACTCCACTGAGTTTTACATTATACGGTGAGTGAGCTACCTTCTCACGTACCTCTCAAACACCTTCTCAGTCCTGAGACTTCTCAGAATTCTTTCCTGCACACCACCTTCACCCCCAGCGACTACTCCACTGAGTTTTACATCATATGGTGAGTGAGCTACCTTCTCACGTACCTTTTCAAGTACCGATCTAGAGAATGCTTTCCTGCACACCACCTTCACCCCCAGCGACTACTCCACTGAGTTTTACATCATACGGTGAGTGAGACATTCTTCCATGCACCTTCGCACCGTCCCATGCACCGTCCCATGCACCGTCCCATGCACCGTCCCATGCACCGTCCCATGCACCCTCCCTCCCGCACATCCTCTAGCGCACCCTCCCACTTTGGAAACGCTTCATAATCCCTTCCTGCACACCACCTTCACCCAGCGACTACTCCACTGACTTTTACATCATCTGGTGAGTGGGTCGCCCCCTCCCACGCACCCTCCCATGCACCCTCCCATGCACCCTCGCGTGCACCCTCCCACGCACCCTTCTATGTGAACCCCCACACAGTCCCCTGCGCATTCTCTCACACACCGTCACAATCCGAATGACTGCGCATCCCCCCGCCTTCCTCCCCCACCCCCCCTCTCCACCCCACCCACTGCATGCGCGAGGCACAGGGAGGCAGCACCCAACATGTCATCATTGCCCCCCCCCACCCCCCCTCTCCCTCTCCCCCCCACCCCCTCTCCCTCTCCCCCCCCCCCCCCAAAAAAAAAAAAACACCCTGGCCGTTGCCCTCTTTCCACTTCCCCATCTCCACTCCCCCTTCCACTTCATCACACCCTCTCTCTTGCACACCTAAAAAACTCACCCTGGCCGTTGCCCTCCCCACCACCTCTCTTCCCCCCTTTTTCTCCCCTTTCCTCCCGATCGTCTCTTTCACCAGGCACGGGGAGGCAGCACACAACGTGTCGTCTCTCATAGGAGGCCGCTCCCACGACGCTCCCTTGACAGCGCTGGGGCAGCAGCAGGCGAAGCTGCTGGGGGCGTACCTGCGGGAATACACCGGACTGCGCTTCGATGCCATCTTCTCCTCGCCCATTGAGCGCTCCAAGCAGACCGCCATCCTCGTGTGCCAGGTACGTGCTATGTGCTGCCAAGGTGCGTGCTGTATGCATGTAAGGTGTGTGGCATGGCGTGGCATGGCGTGGCATGGCGTGGCATGGCGTGGCATGGCGTGGCATGGCGTGGCATGGCGTGGCATGGCGTGGCATGGCGTGGCATGGCGTGGCATGGCGTGGCATGGCGTGGCGGCACCTTGGCTTACCCAGCGCAAACCAAGCCAGGCAGACTTTCATCATAGTGAGCACCTTGGCACAGAAACGAACCTAGTGCCTACTAGTTCTCCACCTCCCCCCCCCTTTACAAGGATCGGGCAGGCTGGAAGCTTGCTTTCAGTATCGAGCTAAAGGAGCTTTCGCAGGGGGTTGTGGGCTTAGGAAAGGCATCAGCGGCACCTCTGCTCACTCCATTCACTTCTCCCTTCCCCCTTCTCCATTCTGTCTTCTCTCTTCCTCCTCCCCATACCTTTCCGCATTGAGCACTGGGACGAGATGCAGCAGGTGTCGTCTTGGGCTCAGCAATAGTAGCAGACGCACCCCTACCCCTTGTACTCCTTCCCCTTTCCCTTTTCCCTTTTCACCCCACTCTTCAGGAGATAGGCGAGGATGAGAGCCGCATCAAGTATTCGGACGAGCTGCAGGAGCTGTCGCAGGGGACGTGGGAGCGGCAGCCGCAACAGACACCACCCTACTTCTTTCCATTCTTCCTTCTCCCTTCTCCCTCTTTCCCTCCCCTCCCTCCCTTTTCTACAGGAGATAGGAGAGGATGAGAGCCGCATCAAGTACTCAGACGAGCTGCAGGAGCTGTCGCAGGGGACGTGGGAGCGGCAGCCGCGGCGGAGCATCTACCAGCAGGGCGTGCTGGAGCAGATGACCGCCGCGCAGCCTGACTTCCGCGCCCCTGGGGGGGAGTCCCAGCGCCAGGTGGGTGGGGGGGGGGGGGGAAGGGGAGGGGATGAGGTGGGGAATGGAAAAGAGGGGAGGGAGAAAAGAAGCAAAGGGAGATAACAAGCAAAGGAAGAGGTGATTTGTGTGTGTGTATCTGCGTGTTAGTGTCTGTTGGGCTGTAGGTGAATGTGAGTAGGTAAGATTGGGGTGGGAGATCTCACCACCCAGCCAATCCTCGTTCCCCTCACTTCCCCCGTCCCCCCCCCTTTTCCCCACCACCTCTCCCCTCGTCCCCTCACACAGGTGGAGTTCCGCATGGTGGAGTTCATCAACAGTGTGCTCTTCGCCCGCCAGCACCTCATCTCCCCGGGCCCCGCTGCCCTCGCTGCCGCTCACTGCCTCGGCCTCCACACAAGCCACTCCGCACCCTCCCTGCACCTCCTCGCCTCCCCTCCCCCACCCGCCGCTTCTTCCTCCTCGTCCTCCTCCTCAGCCTCCCCGGCTTCCGCTTCTTTTCCTTCTGCTTCTTCCTCCTCCTCCTCCTCCGCTTCTCACGCGTCGGCTGTGCCGTCCACCTCTGCCCCGTTCTCTTCCACCTCCTTCTCCTCGTCATCCTCTTCTGCCGGTGCCGCTGCTGCTAAGGATCTCCCCCCACGCGCACCTGCGGGAGCAGCTGGAGCAGGAACAGCAGCCGCAGAAGCAGTAGCAGCAGTAGCTGGAGGAGTAGGAACACCGGGTGGGGATGGCAGCAACAGCAGCAGCAGTGGGAGCCACAGTAAGGGGGGCAGTGTGTTTCGGGTTGCGGTGTTTTCCCACGGGACGGCTATCCGGTGCCTGCTTCGGGGTCTGCTAGGCTCCAACCCGCACCTGACTCAGAACATTGGCATTGACAACACTTCCATCACTCTTCTGAAGCACACGTCCAAGAAAGGGTGGCACCTGGTGAAGACAAACGACACCGCCCACCTGATTATTGCCAAGGGTCCGCTTTCTGTCCAGCAAGCCTGCTGCTAGTGATGCTGATGCTGATGCTGATGCTGATGCTGATGATGGTGACGGTGATGAAATTATGGGGATAAAAATGACTTGTGTAATGCCGATGATGCCGCTGCTGCTGGTGATGGTGGTGGTGCTGCTGCCGGTGCTGCTGGTGGGCTTGATGCTGCTTCTGGTGCTGCTGGACTTGTTAAGAGTCATCTGCTGCTCTGGTGATGGTGCTGCTGTTAAAGTTGCTGGTGGGGATGATGCTGCTGCTGATGTTGTGGCGCCCTGCTGCTCTGTATCCTGGATTGCAGTTTCGAGTCGTGCCCCAACTGTGAACTTTGTCCTTTCAACAATAAATACATGAAGTGGAAATGGTCCTTTATAAAGCAAAAATACTCAACCAAAACATAGGCACAGAACAAAAACGCTGCGTAAGTCTTTTGCCAGTGTACTACCACTCAGCTGAATGATTTGATATAAGATGTTGCGCAGGGTGTATTGCTGTACATACTGACCGTGTACATTCTTAGGGAAGCCTCCAAACCATAAACCATTCCACAAAATCAGTTTCACTAAAGAAAAATGGCAGGACACTACTAGAGGTACAGTTACCGGCAAGTTGTAGTGATGCCTCTGCTGAAATTCTAGTTTCTGGTTCCCTGCAAAACTGAACATGGTGCTCACTGTATCACCCACTTCCCCAGGCCTACAAAAAAAAGTCTCAACTCAACCCTCATAGAGTCTCGACTCTCTATCATCAACCCCTGATCTGAGCACAAGGAATAACGGACCAGTGTCACAGAGGTTCACTCACTTATGACCCAGCCCAGCCCAACCCAGCCCCTTCTCTTCAAAACATCACCATTCCATTGTGAGAGGTACAAGTGGAGTGGTGCGCTAGTGTTTACACGAGACAGGAAGGAGAAAGGGCTGATGTCAGAAGGTGGAAGCAGAGGCTGGGAGAGGATTGGCGTCGCTATTCATGCAGAGAGTGTGGTCGTGCAGTGTGTGAGAGGATAAAGGCTTGAGATAAGATACGTTACAATGTGAGAGAGGATAGAGGCTTGGGGTACGGTGTTTGCCCACACAGCCTGTTTTGTTCAACACGTGGTGATGGGAGAAGGGAAGGTGTGCTGCATTGGTTGCTGATAGCTGCTCATCATACTCTTGCTCTTGCTGCTGCTGCTGCTGCTGCTGATGATCTTGTTGGTGTTCTGCTGCTGCTACTGTGTGGGCTTGGTGCTGCTGCGCTGCTGCTGCTGCGGCTGATGCTGCTGGTAAAGGTCGGGCTGTAAGCTTGACTAAGTGTGTGGAAGGAGGTGCATGGAAGGGAGAGTGGAAAAGCTGGTGAGGGCATGGGGTCATGGCAGTGATGTGAGATTTCTGTGTCCAGTCACCATGTTACATAGCACATGACAGCTGGTGAGGTGAGGGTAAGGGATCATGACTGGGATGCAAAAATGCAAGTGGCATGTCACGTGCGGGAGGATATGGAGGGGTGGTTCAGATCGCATTGAAGGCTCGGCATGTCAGGTCCGGACTGGCAGGGTTGGGATGGCAGGTTCAGCATGGGAGGTTTGGAAAGGCTGGTGCTTACTGGTTGATTGGTCCTGGTGAGTTGGCATAGTAGGTTTGGAGTGACGGGTTGGAATGGCAGCTTTGAAACAATAGGTTTAGCATGGAAAGTATGGATAAAGCAGTTTTGGCATGGCAGGTTTGAAATGGCAGGTACTTCATGGTTGGTTCGACAAGGTAGGTTGGGTACTGAAGGTCTGTATGGCAGGTTTGGATGTCAGGTTCGGCATGGCAGGTTCGGTATGCAGGCTTGAAATGGCAGGCGGCAGGTTCGGAGTGGCAGGTTTGGAAAAGCAGGTTTGGGATGGCAGGTCGGGAATGGCAGCTTTGGAATGGCAGGTTTGGAACGGTAGGTTTGGCACACAAGACTTCCCACAGAGCAATTGGCATGGGCTGGAAGGGCAAACACGGAGTAGGCGGGGATGGACACAGGCAGCAGCAGCAGAAGGAGCAGGAGCAGGAGCAGTAGAAAGTGTAACAGCAACACCACCAGCACCAAGAGCATCGAGCAGCAGAGGCAGCCACAGCTGCTCCCACAGACCGGTAAGACAGCTGCCGGGTAGCAGGTTAGGAATGGCAGCTTTCTTTGCTCCTGCTCAACAACCATCTCCTTCTCCCCTCCCTTCTCCTTCTCCTTCCCACCAACATCACCTTCCACTAGCACACCACTGGGTGGCTGTTAGCTCCTTCCTCCCTTCCCCAAATCCTCTTCCATCGCCCCACCCTCCCCCTTCCCCCACCCTCTCCCCACCCTCTCCCTTCCCCCACCCTCTCCCTCACCCCCGCATCCCCGCTTCACCGCTGCTTCGGCTTGGGCCGGAATTTGGGCGGCATGCCGCCGCGGAAGCGGCCGGCAGACATGGCGCCGCTGTCGCGCAGAAAGGACTCATAGGACGATGCCATGCCCTCATGGTAGCACCGCACTATCTCCTCGTAATCCCGCGCCACGTCCTCTGGTGTGAGGTCCGGCCGACCCTGGGAACGGGGGGGGGGAGGAGCGGGGAGAGGAAGGGAGGGAAAGGGGGTGGGGGGAGGGGGGTGGGAGGAACGGGTTGGGAGAGAGGAGTGGGGGCGATAGGAGCAGGGAGGGGACAAAAAGCGTTTTGAGGAAATTTGGGATTTGGATGGGAGAGGAGTGCTGAAAGGAAGGAGAGAGAGGGAGAGGAGGAGGGAGAAGGAGAACAAAAGGGAGGCGGAAAGGGAGAGGGTGATGGGGAGAGAGAGGGGGTGAGGGTGAGGTGTGAGTGAGTGAGAGGATGAGAGCAGGAGGATGAGAGGCAGAACTCACCATCCCAGCCGCAACAGAACCAGCAGCAGCAGCAGCCGAACCTCCCCCTCTTGATCTAGTCCAATCAGACGTTCTCAGCCGTCGATCTTCGTTCAGCATCAATGCTGCCGTAGCACCCAGCAAAGGCACCCCTCCTCCTCCACTCACCCCCACACCACCATCCCCTCCTCTCCCATTTTCATCCGCACCAGCCCCCCCAGCAGCAGCACCAGCTCCATCTGATAACACCCCTCCTCCTCCTCCTCCCAGACTCCCTGCTTTTGGAGCCACCCCGATTCCCAACGACCCAAAGGGGGTGAGGGGGTTGGCAGTGGCGGTGGCTGCTTCTCTCTCCGCTTGCAGTGCGCGTATGCGGAGAAAGACCGGACGGAGGAAGGAGAGGAGCGAGAGGAGGAGCGCGAGAGAGAGGGATGCAACAAGAGAGAGGAGGAGGGGTCCTTTGAGGAGGGCGGGAAGGGAGGAGGAGGAGGAGAGAGAGCAAGAGGTGGTGGTGGGGTTTGTGGGAGCAGCAGCAGTGGAGGAGTGCCATTGCTGGGGGAGAGAGGAGTGGAGGGAGGAGTAGAGGGAGGAGACGGTTCCATTTATGCAGCTCCAAGTATCCTGCATGGGGAGAGAGGACAAGGGTGTGGACGGACGGTGTGGAGGAAGGGTGTGGTGTGGAGTGAGGGTGTGGAGGGAGAGTAATTGAGATAATAACCAAACGTGATTGATATATGACCCACAGAGACAGAACTACAGACCTCGCTCAATGACCAATCACTGCAAACACACACACACACACACACACACACACACACACACACACACACACGCACACACACACACACACACACACACACACACAGACACACAGACACACACACACACACACAGACACACACACACACACACACACACACACACACGCACGTCCATTAACACACTCCTCATTGCTCAACTCCAAGCCTTTCCTTCTCTCCCCAGCTGAATTTCAGAGACCAAGCAATTCTGTTAAGAACCTTTTCCGCAAAACAAAAGCACTCAAATGTTTGTCTACATGCTCACAAGCTGCCCACCAGCTCATCTCGTTTAACAGTGCTGCAAAAACAGAAAAGGCAAACCGACCAACCAACCCACCTGGTGCCTTGCCCGTGCCTGTAGCAGCGCCAGCTCCTCAGACTGCTCCAGGTTATTATTCTGATGGTCATGGCGGTGGTTGTGGTGGTGGTGACGGATGGGATGAGAGGGAAGGATGAGACAGAAGGAGGGGGAGTTTAGTGGTGGTGGTTGTAGTGGTGAAGACGGATGGGGATGGGAAGGGAGAGAATTTGGTAATGGTGGCTATGGTGGTGAGGATGGGGAGCCAGCGGTTGGGGATGGTCGAGTTGTGCGTGCGTTTGTGTTTGTGTGTGTGGGTGGGTGTGGGTGTGCACGAGCGCGCGTGCGTGTGTGCGTGCGTGTGCGTGCGTGTGCGTGTGTGTGTGTATAAACAGGTTGGATGGTGGTGGCTGGACTGAAAACCCCCTCCCCCCATGCTCTCTCCACTCACCCCTCCAAACTCCCTTCCCCCACCCAGTCAGTAACCACTCCCCCTCTTTGCCCTTCCCTTCCCAACCTCCCCAACTTGAGCAGGGCACGCAGCAGCAGCAGCAGAGCCATCAGTTGCAAACCGCAAGGTTCCTACCTGAAAGAACAACCGCGGCTTTCCACTCGTCGCTGCTCTCGCCCTCCCATCACTTCTGCTGCTGCTGCCTGTCCTTCCAGCTGCAGTGGCAGTGGCTGAATCAGCAGAAAGGGGAGCTAAAGAGCTGCTGCTGCTGCTGTCAGCAACGGTGGTGGTGGGAGCGGCGGCAGCAGTGGCTGCGACGGGAGCAATCTTGCTGCTCTGGGCGTTTGCGCTTGTGTGCAGAGCAAAAGTGCCCGCAGGAAGAGCAGCAGCATCAGATTTAGCCGCAGGAGCTGCAGCAGCAGCTGTGGCTGAGGCAGCGGCAGCGGAGCGAGGGATGAGGAGAGTGGTTTCGAGCTCCACGTGGTGCACGTCTGTGAGCCCATTGGCGCGCAGTATGTCCTTCACTCGCACACCGTACCGCTGCGATATGCCCCACAGCGTCTCGCCCCTGCCCGTGATGGTGCGGGTGGTGGTGGGGGTGGTGGTGGGGGTGGTAGGAATGGTGGTGGGGTTGGTGGTAGGGTTGGTGGTAGGGGTGGTGGTGGGGGTGGTGGTAGGGGTGACGGCGGCAGTGCCCAGTGGCCGTGATCGTACAGGGGAGAGGCGGGGGAAAGCGGAGAGGGGCGAAGGGAGGGGCGGGTGAGAGGTGCGGGGAGGGGGGGGGGGGGGGGTGGGTGTTGAAGGGGTTGAGGGAGGGGGGATTGAGCGTTGGAAAGGGGAAGTAAGGGAGGCAAAGAGAGAGAATGAGAAAGGGAGAGAGGAGGAGGGCTGAGAGGAATGTTAGATAGAAGAGCAAGTTTGAAAAGCAGGAGGGGGCGGGGAAGTTGGATCGAGGGCATTGGATTGAGGGCATTGGATTAAGAGGCATCATAATATAATCTGTGTCTGCCATAGGGCCATGGCCTCATGTGTGTGTGTGTGGAGAGACAAGAGGAGGAAGATGGGGGGGCTTGCGGGCGGGTCAGAGGGGTGTGGAGAGGGGGTGAGGATGGGGAGGGCGGGTGACTTGAAGAGTTAGTGTGCCTCTGTGTGTCATATACATTATGTATGAACGCATAATAACGGGTACAGTATATTCATTCTTTGCAAGCATCATGCTCACTCACTCTTCCACTGTGTGCGTCAGCAGCGGCTCGCGATCGGCGCGTCGCCTGGCGTTCGCGCAGCATCGCACGGAGTCGCCCAGGCGCTGCTGCGACGGGCTCGCGAACGGAGAACAGGGGGTAACGGACGGGAACTGCAAATGGACGGGCGGGGGGAAGGGAACGGATGAAGGCGGGGAGGGTTTGGGTCGGGAAGGGGGGAGAAGGGAGGTAGGGGGAGGAGAAGGGGGGAGAGGGAAGTGACGTGAAGAGGAAGGAAAGGGGAGGAAAGAGGAGGGGAGGAAAGAGGAGGGGAGGAAAGAGGAGGGGAGGGGAGAGAAGGGGGATAGGAAAGGGACTGATATAAAGCAATGAAATGACGCCGTGTTTTTGAAAGGGCATGCATGAGAGATTTTATACTTTTGAGGGGAAAAGGGACGGGGAGAGGTGCGGGTGGGGGAGGGAAAGAGTGAGAAGGAGGGGGGCTGATTGTTGGCGGAGGAGAAGAAAAGGACGACAATATACGGGCTTCGCCTTAAGGAGCAATTTCGCATGACAATGCTATTTGACGCAAATTACCTTTAGTTGCTATCTTAAAAGCCCAATCCTCGTTTCTGTACTCGTTACTAGCTCCAGCGTCAGTTCGTTCCAATCCCTGTCCCACCCATTTCCTGGTCTTTATACCCCTTCTAACCCCTTCTACCCCGTTCCTCCCCTTCCGATGTTCTCCCCCCACACCCGCGCTCACCGAATGCTTGATTCCAAGGGGCGCGGGGGGGCTTAGCGGCAATAGCTTCCGCGCGCATGTGCGTTCCGCCGACGCGCCGTGGACTTGTTGTAACGCGTACGCTCGTACACATGCAGCTCTGGATGTCGAATCGAATCTTGAAGCGCCAGAGAACGAAGTTGCGACGCGGCCGCTGCGGTGGCCGCCGCCTCCGCCGCCGCCACCCCAAGTGCTGCTGCTGCTGCTATTGCTGCCGTGTTTTCCGCCGGACCTGCCGTTGATACTTCTTAGCTTGATGCTTCCGCCGAGGCTAGCGGAGGACGAGAGCGCGGGGAAAAGGGCTGCTTGTCCCCCGGAAACGCGCGCGGGAGAGGTGATGGGCGGAGAATGCGGAAGGTGACCGCACGACGTGGAAAAAGCCGGCGATGTGTGGCGGCCACACGATTGGTGGAGGAACGAAGAAGGTTGCGCGGGGAACGCGGCAAAGGCGGCGGGAGCGAGGGAAGCGGAGGAAGCAGGGAAAGCGGAGGACTGGACCGCTGTCTCGAGAGGTTGACGCGGAGAAGAACGCACGAGCGTTGCGCTTCCAGCGCGCGAGTGTGACTGAAGCGACGGTGAACAAAGGGAAGGGATCATGGTGCGTGGGAATTGATGCTTGTCAAGCCAAGCGTGATTGAGGAATTGGCGAGAGGGTTGAACGAGGTAGAAAGGAGTGAATTACTCTCCGCGCCACGGAACGGTCTAAGACGCTCAGCATCGATAGCCTATCTTTCTGCCGCTGCAACGTAGTCTAAGCCCCATGACACTATACTTGCGAGTGATCGTCGATTGCAACAAACGGGAGCACCAACTAGTCAAAGCGTCTGGGCACCATAGCAGCGAGAATAGAAGATTACCGAAGCCGCATGCGTTAACTAGGCAGTCTGGTAACGGTTAAGGGCAGGGTGCAGACGCATTAGGTCAGTCATAATAATACTGTACAGTAATAGGTTCGAGGCAGAAGTGTTGCATTGCATCCATTGTTTGGGAGGCTCAGGGGCAGAAGCAGTAGAAAATCTTGCGCGGATGCAGGGGTCAGTTTGGATTGGGAGGCTATGCGCGTGGGAAGGGGGGTACGGGGGAAATTGGCGGAAAAGGGGTGGATGTATGAGGGGAGGCGAAGAGGCGCGCGGAAAGGGATGCCCGCTGGGGAAACCACTGACAGCCCGATTGTTGGGGGAGGTGAGATGAGAAGCAGCCAATTTTCGGGGAAAAGCAGCTTCCTTCCCATTGGCGCTGCGGCTTTCACATCTGACTTGTGATTGGTAAGTCTCTCAGAGCGCGGATCTGAAGGGGGATCATCCCAAGGGGGTCCAGGGCACGGAGGGCTGTCAACTGCCACGTGGCAGCCTTTTTGTGGGCAAAAGTCGCAAATCTGCGAAGCGAGGGATTTCGCGGTCGATGATGAGGACCCGAGGTGGCATTTGTCGGATGTGGGTGCCAAAATCCATCCTCTACAACATCAAACCCCTAAAAGCATAAACATATAATGCTTCTGTTTTACCAGACGATAGGTACAAGCAGCAAGCATGTAATAACCTGTTGCCAAAAAATTGTTAAGAAAAAGCGCCCACTTATTCCTCCCGCATGGGGAGGTATCCAGCTTGGTGATAAGCCGGCAATTAGTAAAAAAGCTGGGAAGAAGCAAGCTATCACTTTTGTAGCCTCTTCCAGAACTCACCTAACTCACCTACACCCACAAAACGAACCCGTAGTCACCTGTCAGCATACTCCCTTCCATCCAGTCTTCCAACTCTCTTCCCACTGCCCCCCACCACCCACTCCCCCTCCCATTAACCCCCCACCCCAACACAACCTACCCCCCTTAACCCTTTCCCACCCCGTCCCAGATCCCACCCAGATCATTTCTCACTCCAACCCAGATCATTTCTCCCTCACTACTCGTCCTCGTCATCATCGTCCAGCTGGACAATCTGCGCACGCCTCTGCGCTGCCCGTTTCCTAATGAAGATGCCCCACCGCAACGCCGCCCGCAGCTTCAGCCACCCAACCTTGCTCGTATGCTTTAAGTGCGACGCGCCATCCGGTCCCACCCCTTCCCCACCAACCCCTCCCCCTACGGCAACCCCTGCTGAGCCTCCAGCAGCCACAGCACCAGTAGGCGCGGAGGGAGTGAGGAACCCCCCTTGGAAGACTATTTCGTTGTCGTCGTGCTGTAGGTTGGCTGTAATGGTTCCTGCTGATCCTGCCGGCGTGTAGTCGTTGATAAGTCCTAGCAGCTGCTGCATCTGCATGGGGGAAGTTTGCATCGGAGGAGTGAGGGGCAGGCAGTGGTTGCAGTAGGAGGGAGGGAGGGAGGCGGATGGTGAGGAGAGAGTGTGCGTGGGACAGGGCATGATAGAAGAGACTGGTCATGGAGCTTCGAAAACAGAGCAAGCAGGGATGAAATGAAAGAACACAGGGACGTCCGAGGGCAAGGCAACGGGACAGCTGGCTTTAGAACCCAGTCACTCCCACGCACGCACGCCCCTCCCCCCCCTTTCCCCCCCCCCCCCTACACACACCTGTTGGTGCATGTCCTCATTCTCGAGCAGCTCCAGGCTCTTAGCACGCAGATCCTCCTCGGACAGCCCAAAGTCATCCAGGTGCCCACTGAACCCCCCAGGCCCACCAAACAGTGCAGCTGCAGCCGCTGCTGTTCCTGCCGCCCCACTGCTCGCGTTCCCCACTCCAGACGCCCACCCCGATATGCCCCCTCCTCCCAGCCCTCCCGCCCCGTCCATTCCCAAACCGCCAGTACCACCACCACCAGCGGTGCCATCACCAGTAGCAGCACCAAAGGGAACCATGGCATTGGCGAAAGGATCAGGGCCCACTGTAACAGTGTTGTTGTTACCGCCCATGTGACCATCCCCACCCCCTGCAGCGGCAGTAGAGCCATCCCAAAGTACCCCTCCTGCTCCTCCTCCTGAGCTGCCGGCTCCCATCCCTCCCACACCCCCTCCGTACCCCATCTGCTGCTGCTGCTGCTGCTGCTGCTGCTGCTGCTGCTGCTGCTGCTGCTGCTGCTGCGGCTGTGGGGGGTTCTGCTGACCGCTTTGTCTACCCAGGCCCAGTTGAAGCAGCTGCTGCTGCTGCTGCTGCTGCTGGTTCTGGCTCTGCTGCTGGTTCTGGCTCTCCTGGTTCTGCTGCTTCTGCTCCGCAGCCTGAATGAAAGGGCAGAATGGTTTCAGCCAGCAAGGCAGGTGCGACCGGACAGGTGGGTTGAGGGGTGAGCATGAGTTTGACTGTGAGGGGTCTAATGCACGATGTGAGAACTTGAATGAACGAAGCAGAAGTGCGTAGTTGAGTGGCATAGACAGAGGGCATGGTGATGGTACTAGGTTGCAGCACGCATGTCAGGAAAGCGGCAAAGAAGGAAAGGGTGGAGAGGAAGGTGGAAGGGATGGGGATGTGTCAGTGCCTATAGTGTGTGCGGTGGTAACTGGTTTGTGCCAGTCCATGTCTCACCTGCGCTTGGTCGTTGGCCAATGCCTGGCGCCTCACGTGCTGTTGTAGCAACGACGCATTGCCCGACATACCCTGCTGCTGCAACGAGTCGCTTTGGTAGGAGCCACCTAAACCACGCAAAGGGTTACACACAGAGACAGAGACACACAGAAGGGCGGAAACATAGATGCGCGCACACACACACACACACACACACACACACACACACACACACACACACACACACACACACACACACACACACACACACACACACACATGCACACGCACATGCACATGCACCATAGTGTGAGAATAGTGAAGGCAGCTGGCTGGGTTGGATGCAGACACACACAGCAGGTGTCAAACAACTCCACGTGCCCTTTCCCACCTCCCCCAACATCATCTCCCACCTCTCTCGTTCCTACCTTGCGGCCCATCAGAGTCATCGAGGGAAGTGGCAGTGCCCTGCCCCTCAGCAGCAGTGGACGCCCCAGCAGTCACCGACACAGTGGGCCCCGACGACGGCCCTGCCTTGTCCCCCCCAGCTGTCTGCCCTGCGGCCCGCTGCGAGGCAATGAGTGCCTCCCCGTCGTACTCCACAACGCTGTCCCAGTCGTTGTATGCCATGGTCACTAGCCGGTCCACGTAGAGCTGCATGCGGGGGGGACAGGCACACGCACGAGGCAGGGCGGAAAGTGGGACAGGGGGGAGCGGAAAGCGATGAGCACCTCCCAATCTCGTCGTACTCCACGACGCTGTCCCAGTCGTTGTACGCCATGGTCACTAGCCGGTCCACGTAGAGCTGGTGTATGTGAAAGACCAAACACACGGTGGAGCGGAATGAAGGGCAGGGGGAGAGGGGAGGTGGGGGGGAGGAGAGGCACCAATAAGCACCTCCCCGTACGGATGTTCTGCTTCTCGTCTCCCTTACTTGTCCCAAATCGCACGCCCATGGACTTGATAAGCGTCTCCCTTATTTGTCCTCCCTTCCCTTCCCCTTCCCCATGCCCTTCCCCCCATGCCTGACCTTTTCGGAGTCAGACAGAAGGTCGACGGACATGTACTGGCCGTCAGCAATGAGCCCCATGAGCTGGAAGATGTTGTTGAAGATGACGCCAATGTTCTGCTTCTCGTCCGCGTAGTACACATACAGCTTCCCGTTCAGCGCACACGTCTTGGCGCTTCCTTTGCTGCTAACCTCCCAACCCTTGCCCCTCTCCTTCCCCATGCACTCACCCCTCCCCCTCCCCCTTCCCCCTCCCCTCCCGCACTCCCCTTCCCCCTCTCCCTCTCCAACTTGCACTCTTCCCCCCGCCCATACCCCCATGCCCCGTACCTTTTCGGAATCAGACAGAAGGTCGACGGACATGTACTGGCCGTCAGCAATGAGTCCCATGAGCTGGAAGATGTTGTTGAAGATGACGCCAATGTTCTGCTTCTCGTCCGCGTAGTACACGTACAGCTTCCCGTTCAGCGCACACGTCTTGGCGTGCTCCACCACGCCCTCCCACATCTTGTTCGACATGCCCGAGCCGAGAATCTGAAGGGCGAGGGGGGAGGGGCGGGGAGGGGTGAAGGGGGAAGCGGGAACGGGAAGAGGAAGGAGGCAGGAAGAAGGGAGACCCTTGAGTTTTCTCAGAAGTCGTCTTGGCGTGCTCCACCACGCCCTCCCACATCTTGTTCGCCATGCCTGACCCCAGGATCTGCAGGGGGAGAAGGGGGAAGGCGGAAGGTGGAGGAAGGGGGAAGGGAGAGGAAGGGGGAAGGTGGAGGAAGGGAGAAGGGAGAGGAAGGGGGAAGGTGGAGGAAGGGAGAAGGGAGAGGAAGGGGGAAGGTGGAGGAAGGGAGAAGGGAGAGGAAGGGGGAAGGTGGAGGAAGGGAGAAGGGTAAATGGAGGGGAAGTGGGAAGGCAGGAGGAAATTTGAGTCGCCTCACACATCTAGTTCCGCATGCCCGACCCAGGATCTGAAACAGCAAGGGATGGGGATGGGGAACGGGGATGGGGGAATATGAAGGTGTGCAACCAGGGGCGCATGCATGGGTCCATGCAGGGGTACATGCAGGGACGCATGCAGGGACGCATGCAGGGACGCATGCAGGGACGCATGCAGGGACGCATGCAAGGGTGCACGAAGGCAGGGGTGCCCTGCACGCGGGTCTATATGTGCAGCTCACCGATCACATCCTATGTGGATCCATGTCGATGTGGCGCACGAAGCCACTTTTGCAAATACTATCAAGTAATTCCAGTGGCGCACGCGGGTCCATGCAGGTGAATGCAGGGGTGCATACAGCTCTCTGTTTGCTCCACGACCGCAGCTGCTGTGGGTCTACTATTGCGGCGCCTCAAAAGTCACTCACCGAGCGCAGCCTCTGTGGGTCCATGACGATGAGGCGCAGGAAGTCCTCAACGGTGACGATGGCGGACTGGTTGAGGCGCTTGTGGCCCTCTGACCCAGCTCTACGCTCACTCACTCACCGCAGCAGGGGTGCCTGCCTGCCTGCATGCATGAAAATTGTGTGCATCAGGTGCATGCACTCACCGAGCGCAGCCTCTGTGGGTCCATGACAATGAGGCGCAGGAAGTCCTCGACGGTGACGATGGCGGACTGGTTGAGGCGCTTGTGGAAGGCGCCGTCCTTGCCGATCTTGTCCAGCCGCCACACCTCGTCGTTCAGCTTCGGCGGATAGTGCTTCTTGTACACTGCGGGGAAGGGGAGTGGAGGGGGAGGAGGCGGCAGGGGGTGTGGGGAGGGAGGAGGGGAAGGGCTGCCATTTTAGCTGCCACACTCTGTCGTTCAGCTTCGGCGGGTAGTGCTTCTTGTACACTGCGGGGTTGAGGGATGTGAGGCAATGCGGGGGGGGAGGTGGGAGAACGGGCCTGGGGGGGGAGAGGGTTTGTGGGAGGGCGAGGAAGGTGGGAACCGCAGGCTAGAGTTTAGAGCCGGCACACCTTGTCGTTTACCTTTGGCATGTGGTGCCACACTGGGAAGGGGGGAGGGGAGGTGGAGGGAGAAGGCGCCGGAAGGAAAGGGGCGGGCAAAGGGCGGGTGGGAACAGAACTGGAGAACGGGGAGACCGGGAAGTGGAAGGGGGGGGGGATGAGGATTGAGGGGGGACAGACGGCAGGGGTGGGCGGATGGAAACCGGTGGCGAGGGGCAGGGTGGAGTGAGGTGAGGTGTGGAAGAGGAAGGGAGCTGAGCAGATGAGGGGAGCGGGACGAATTCAAGAACATTGCAGGAGCGCACGGGAACAGGGGAGTTGAAAACGGATGCAACTGAGCGGAAGACATGGATGAGAGAGGTAGCAGAGGTAGCAAGCTGAGAGTACGGAGGTATGAGGGAGCGGGTGAGAGGAGCAAAAAGAGTAAGGAGCAACCTCTCCTCACCGCCCCCAGCTCCTTCTCCCTCCAACACTCCTCGTCACCATTCCACTTCCCATCCCAAGCACCCCCATCCCCCAACCTTTCCCCCCGCCTTTCCCCCCCTTCCACCACTCTGCTGCGCCCATAGCGCCAGCCCTGCGCCACTCACATTCCCCCCGGTGGTCCTTCACAGTGAAAGCCTCCGTCTTAGCCTCCCGCACGCGCAGGCCCCCACCCTCCTGCTCCTGCCCGGACGCCACCCTAACTCCCAGGCGGAACTTGCGCGAGCGGATCCAGCTGCTGTTGTCGGTGAAGCAGAGGTCGCCCAGCGTGCCCACGCCGTCCTTGAGGTTGAACGTCACCTCGCCCGTCAGCAGCGGCCGCTTGCCCTCGCGCTCCTTCACCACGTTCTGCTCAAACTCCTCCTGGGAGTGGGAGAAGGGGGGCGGACAGGGGGAGAGGAGAGGAGCCGGGGAGCCGGGGAGTCGGGGGGGTGGGGGGGGGGGGGGGGGGAGGAGTGGGGGAGGGGGAAGGGAACAGGGGGGGAAGTGCAGGAGGGGGTCCAGGGATGGGGGACGGGGGTCGCTTTTGAGCGGCATCACAAAGGGGCGCCTGTGGGCAAAGCAGCTTCCGTTTTCAGACGACTCAAGCCTCGACTCACCTGAGTCCAGTCATCGTCAATAGGCTTTTTAAAGCCCCCTCTTCCAACACCACCGCTTCGAGCTTCCCATTCGACCACCTCTAGCTTGCCGTTTCGTCCACCCAGACGTCTCAAGCCTCCCCTCACCTGCGTCCAGTCGTCGTCAATAGGCTTGTTGAAGTCCCCTTCCAACACCACAACTTCGAGCTTCATATTCGACTCAGGTAAGTCCATGGCCGTCTGTCCCGTGTCCGCGTGTTGCAGCACCACGTGCACCGCCTGCCCGCCCTCCCCCTCCACGCGCGCGCCCGTGTACAGCGGCAGCGCCAGCTTGCTGCGGAACGCCAGGCGCAGCTTGCGCGCGCTCTCCGGCGCGGGCAGCCGCTTGGGGTCGGGTCTGCGCGCGCGCGGACGGGGAGCGGCCGGGAGAGGCGCAAGGGGACGGCGGCAAGGGGAGGTGCGCGGAATGAGGCGGGGGGGAAGGCGGAATGAGGGGGAAGGGAGTCGAACGGGGAGACGCGGAGTGAATAGGTACAGAAACGAGAGGGGGGACACAGGGGGGTCCGAGGATGGGAAGGGGGGGTCGGGAAAAGTGGGGAAGATGGACGGGGGGGAGAGGGGAGCGAAGAATGGCGGATGGGTTATGGAGAAGGGAAAGAGAAAAAGGGAGGAGTAAAGATAGAAGAGTGCAAATGTTTTCAAACGGAAACGAACCTTCCAGGCAGCTGCGGTACATTGTTGGGCACAAGCTTCGCGAGCGCTTTCTCCACCTCCTCCCCCACCTGATTGCGATGGGAACCAGCCCTCTCCCACCCCACCGCACCCCACCCCACCACACACACAAATACACCAAAGAAAAACACACACGACGGGAAGCACACGCGAGACACGCACAGGAACCAGAAGCAGGAGACGCACGCACACGACGGGTAAGGAACGGGATTGTTGAGGTATGCGCATGTAAGTGGTCATGCAGAGCGTCTCATGCGGGTAGTAAAGGAAACGTTTCACAACAAAAAACACACCAAAAAAAAAGAGACTCGGGCACCCTAGAGAAATTCATTAAGTCAGCGGTAACAATGCAGCCAGAAGGATATAGCAGAGCATCTAGGACTTGAACCACGCACCACACGTCGTAACAAGGGCTCGAGCGTGGAGCAGAGCTTTTGTAGACTGTCCATCTTGACCGCCTCTACAATCACACTGCGAGGATAAAAAATTGAGGGCCACGAGCCAGGATAAGGGTTTTTTTTACGTAGTTAATATCCACAAACAAATCAAATAATAATACGGAAAGCAATGGACAATGAAGAAGAGGGGGGATAGAAGGATTAGGGCAGCTGTGACACTCGAACGGCGAAAACTGAGAAATCAGGCGGAGAGCGTCCAACATGGACCGCAGCAGAAACCGATACGACGCTCGTGTGCGTTCTGACAAAAAGGGAAAATGCAAACGCTACGCAAGCAGGCATAGGCAGCAGAAACTAAAAAAACGCCGAAATAACAAGGGTATTGCATCAAGAAGTGGCCTGATAACAGCAAGCCACATTGTTCGCCGGTGCGGATTAAGCTACGGAGGGTGCAGGGAGTATCAGGCAGGCGCTGCGATACTTCTAGCTTCAACAGGAGCAATACTAACCTTCAGCCTTCAGCCACGCGCTAACATTTACAAACAAGCGTTCAAACCTATTTTAAGGCGTCTCGTGTACCAAGCTAGTTTGATAAGCGAACTGACTCGTAGAAAGGTACAAGTGACGGTACCTCGCTAAAGCAGGCACTCGCTGACGTTTTTCCGGCTGGTGCGGCGCGTTGCCATCTTCAAGCGGCCGTTTATCCCCTAGCCGCATTCGGTAATCCATGGCGCGTTTGTGTCCTGGCTATAGCACGCAGCTATGATTATTATCGAGGCCGTCAAGTTGCTATTCTTTAAGTAGTCAACTCTGAAGAACGGAGGAAACAGTACCTACTCGAAAATTTTAGGGCGCCGTGTTTAGGAGGTTGGACGAACATCAGAAGCGACTAAGGAGGTATCCACTAGCTACGTTAGTTAGGCTTACAGTCAGGAACTAAGACAGCCCGAACATAGGGCTTTAGTCTTGTCAGCAGCTACGAGTAAAGCTAACCTTGACCGTTGATATTCGAAGAGTGTAATGGCGTCCAGGTAATAAGAGTGGTACACTAGGCAGTAACGTTCTAGCCCAAGTAGCCAAGGTGAGAACAGTAGGGCCTGCAAACGATTTGCATCTGACAAATTGGCCTCTCCATTTCAGAGGATGAAATGAGGTGAGGGGCGTTTGACGTGCAGCGCGGGGGAGACTTCGAGGTGACGTCCGGGTTATCCTGACAGTGACCGGCTCGAAGAGGTTCGCATAGGGGTTACTTGAGGTTGACGACAACATGCGAAAATCGTACACGCAAGTCGAGGTGCAACTCCTAAGATTTTCAGAATCGGGGTTTCAAAATTGACGGACATCGAGGAACAGGCGGCGGAGGAATTGCAAGCCAATGCACTGAGCAGGTCTGAGGTGGAGGGTTTTCGTCTGGTGCTTGGAGGCCAACGTGTTGATGAAAGCAAAAACTTTGCCACTGGCTCTGTAACGGGAGGGATACACTATATAATGCCTAGCCTATACATTTTACTCTGGAAAAATATTTTACAGATCCAAGGGCTTCTTCTTACAGAAATGAGATTTAATCTGAGCTGGAATTTGTTAATTATATTATCATATCGTACGTGATACATATCTAATATCTGTAGTGTATAAAAGCTTTAAAATTCTTGTTTAATATGTATTTGTAACCCAGTTAGTGGTTGGCATTTGATGTTACAGGTACCTTCTAAATCGGAACAATCTCTCCTGATGGTTCGGATGTCCAAATTGGCAATTCAAAACCCCATGCTTGCGAACCATCTGTGCATGAAATGGTATCCCGTCGCGAGCAGTGTACAAGGATTTCGCTTTGTCGCAAGACGTCGTGCATGAAGGCACCACACCCCAGCACATCTCGATGGGACTTCAGCGCGCTGTGACTGGTGGAGACGCAGCGTTTTCGATTCAAATTTCGATTTCGAAATTCGCGAACTGAAGCCCCTCGAGACTTCAGGCAGGAACACAGCCCAACACAGCCCAGCAGCACCAACACAGCAGCGGCAGAGGAGTAGCAGAGAAGCGTCAGCGCGACACTAATCAGGAACCAGTTTCTCTTTTCCTCGACACTCGTTCTCCTTCACTGCCTCCTTCAGACCCACGACTTCCTCCATCGTAAATCTTCCGCTTGCTTATTCCTTCCCAACCCTTCTTTCTCTACGTCACTTCATCGTCTCGTCAGCTTCTTCAGCACGCCTACCGGCAAGTGCCAGCGTGCTTGCTTTCAGGCTATATCCTCAGCCTTTTTACAATGGTGGACTACGATCAGCTGATAAAATATTCTCAAATCACGAGCAACTCCTTTCCAGTGTGAAGACTTCGTGAATTAGCTTTACAGCTTACTCATCTAGCAATGTCGTCGACTCCCGTTGTACGCGTGACTCGCGGGGACAGAAGCGTCGTTACGCGCTATGAAGTCGCGTTCCTCGTGCGGCAGTACTTGCAGGACTGCCAATTCGTCCGGACACTCGACGCGTTCCAGTCGGAAGCATCGAACCTTCTCGCTCCGATGCAAGCGGTGCGGCATATTTCTTGCTTCCTACATAATTTCGCGCTCTGGCTGCCTGTATAAGCTTGCCAACTTGTTATATAACTTCTCGTGAAGTCTAAACTCATGGAGTTTTCTTGTACTCCGTTGAACGGCGGCGTTTTTTCTTCCGATTGGCATCCTGTGATTTCGGTTCTCACTGTTCCAAGTGCTCTCAATCTCGTAAATGGCCTTCCCATCTCAACCCCATCCCACCCAGGCGCCCGCGCCGGCGAAGAGCCTAGAAGTCATCTTAAGCGACTACATAGTACTCTTAGAGGATCGCACGGCGATGGATAGTCAGAGGCGGCACGCGGACAGATTGGTTCAGTCTCTACAGATGGCCATGGAGGCTTATAATGACGGCGTGGGCCCCGCCGGGGGTGCTTCCGCCGTTACAACGGTTACCACCGCTCACGGCGTCGGAACTGCAGGGCACGCGCAACCGGCGCGGATGCACAGTAACGCGCAGCAGCAGCCCGTGGCGCAGCAAGAGCAGCAGAGGCAGCACAACGGGCACCAGCAAGCGCAGCAACAGCAGCACTACCACCAGCAGCAGCAGCAGCAACAGCAGCAGCAGCAGCCGTCGCCGCCGCCCCAGCAGCAGCAGACGCAGACGCAGCAGCAGCAACAGCGCGTCCAATACATGCAACAAGAGCAGCAGGCACGTGCAACGAACCTGCCACAGCAACAGCAGCAGCTCTCAGCAGGTCACCAGCAGCAACAACAGCCTCACGCGTCTGGTACGTTCTCACCAGAAGTTCTGGTAAGTGTTCAACTACCTCCAGAAGTGCTGTTAAAATTGGGTTTGGTTGCAACATGCCAATTGAGAACTCTCGGTCTAAAGTAGTTCCTAGAGTTTCCATGTAAGTTCGTTTTGCTGTGTGTTCTCTCACTCCCCCCTCATCCATATGTCATTCGACCGTCTTGGTTCCTGGTTACGTCTATCAGTTACGCTGTTGTTGGTGCTTTCAAACTTCACGCTGTCTCTTGTCTTCCCACCTCCGCTCATGGTTAACTTCCGCCAAAACCCTTCTCTTCCCTTTTCATTTCTTTCCTCCCCGCCCCCGCCCCCCGCTATGCCCCATGCCCCACCGTCCGCTCCCCGAACAACAGCGATATCGCCGCCGCAATTCCCCGCATCAAGCGTTCCGCAGCAGCAACCGGCGCCACCGCAGCAGCAGCAGCAGCAGCAGACGTTGCCGGGCGCGTCTCCCCCACCGCAAACGGCGCCGGTTCCCCTGAAGGGCCCACAGGCGCGGGTCCCCGCCAAACCAGGGCGGCGCAGGCAGGTAAAAGGGGCCGCTACAAACGGGGATGGAGACGCGGAGTCGGGACCAGTGGCGGGAGCGGGAGCTGCTGGGGGGAAGAGCGCGCAGGGGCAGGGCGGAAAGAGGGGGAAGAAGGCGCAGACTGTCGCGGGAAATTCAGTGGGGGGAGGGGTAACTGGCGGGTCAGTGGCCGCAGCTGCTGCAGAAGCAGGTGGTTTGGCCAATGGAGAGGAGGCATCTGTGGTTCCTGTTTCACGTGCTGACGTGGCAACAAAAGTGAGCAAGGTAGAGACAACTCATCTGCAGCAGCACACGCAGCAGGGCCAGCACCTTGCTGGCTTGCCACATCAGCATGCGACTCTGCCATCCACACAAGCACCTGCGGCCGCGTCTCATGTTCCCGCTCAGGTTGCAGCTCAGGTTTCCGCAGATCAGGTGATTGCAACAGACACTGCATCGGTCCAGCTAATACCAAGTACAGGAGCAGGGCAGAAATCGGTGGTGACCGATACCCCAACGCTGCCTACTGCTGCTCCTGCTTCTGCTGTTCCCTCCTCCACCCCTACATCGTCTCCTTCTGCCCCTCCTCCTGTTACCTCTCTGCCTGTGAATTCCCCGGCCTCTGCTCCGGTTGGTGCTGGTCCAAGCACCATTTCAACCACTCCTCCAACTGCTGTTTCTGGCGCCCCTATCAATGCAACCACTTCTGCTGCCTCCACCACTCCTCCCATGTCTCTTACCGCATCTGACCGAGCAACTGGCGCCACTGCCGGTGCAGGGATAGGGGTCACAATTGCCGCCGCTCCTGTCCCTGTGCCACTCCATGTGCCGCTCCCTGCGCCGCTCCCTGCTTCTGCGCCAACCTACACAGGCTGCTCGGTATTCCCTGAGCTTGCTGTGGGTGAGACGTCCACTAGCAGAAGCCTGCTCGCGTCGTTTGCTGGCAATGCTAACACCACGGCGACAGCGGCACCAGCAACAGCAGCACCAGCAACGGCAGCACCAACAAATACAATCACAACAGCAGCAGTAGCAGCAGCAGCGAAATCAGAAGCAGCCCCTGTTCTAACCAACGGTGCAGCAGCAGTAGAAGCAGCAGCAGCAACAGGAAATACTGCTTCAGCAGCACCACCCACTCTACCTCCTGCCGCCCCTGCTGCTAACACTAGTACTCCCACCTCTACCACTGATGCAGCAACCAGCGCTCCTGCCGCTACTCCTACTCTTCCCACTCTTCCTACTCCTGTCTCTGCCTCTGTGGCAGCTGCCGGTATCTCTGCTCCTAATGAAAAGGCCCGTCCTGCTGCTTCCTCCCCTACCCTTACCGTGCCGTCTGCTGCGCCAGTCAGTGTTCCTGTTCATCCTGTTCCTACCCTTGGCCCTTCCGCTGCTGCCGCTAACGCCACAACTGCTGTTGCCGCTGGTGCTGCTGGTGCTGCCGGTGCTGCTGGTGCTGCCGGTGCTGCTGGTGCTGCTGGTGCTTCTGCTATTGCGGATGGACCCAGTGGTTTGAGTCCTCAGCAGCAAACGCAGCAGCTTCAACCGTCAGCACCATCACCACAAGTACAGCCACAGCCGCAGCAGCAGCACCAAAAACCGCAGCAGCAGCAGCAACAACAACCGTCGAATTATTCACCGCTAGTCCCCTGCCAGTCAGTCAAACCATTGCCTAACCCACCCCAATCTCCACACCAACCCAAACTCACCCCGCCCCTTCTCCCCCCGCCCATGCGCCGGTCCTCCCCCCGCAAGCAATCCACGCCACAGAAGCGCCAGTCCTCCGCCCTTTCCCCCCTCTCCCCCGCCAAAACCTCCCCACCCCTAAAACTTGCGCGGATTGGCACTAGCACCAGGTGCAGCGCCAGCATCAGCAGCACGTGCAGCGGCGGCAGCAGCAACAGCAGCAGCCCTTTAAAGTTCCTCTCGCGGGCTTACCAGTCACAAGCAGGGAATTCCCCTGTGCGTCTGGGTAAAGTATCCGGGCTTGCAGCTATAGGGGTGATGAAAGCAGGCACGGGTGCAAGTGGGATGGTGGGGAATGGGGTGGGAAGAGGTGGGGCAGGAGCAGCTGTAGCGGCTGTAGCAGCAATGCCCGTGCCTTCCAGCCCACGGAAAGTTTTCAGGGTGCCCGGAATCAGTGGAGGGGAAGATGCTCTTGGGCCTTTACCTGGTAGCGCCGCTGCCGCAGCCGCTGCTGCTTCTGCTGGTACTGCTGGTGCTGTTGGTGCTGCTGCTGGTGCTGGTGATGCGATGAGTGAGGGAGCAGAAAGTGGGGGGAAAGTAGGGGGACTTGCCGTCTACACTGCGGTTATGAGCAGTCCCAGTTCATCTGAAGCTCCTTTTACAACCATGCTTGAGAGTCCTGTGGGGCAAGGGGGCAGGGGACTTGGTTTGGGGTTTGGAATAGATGGTACGAGTCCCAAGAAATGGCGTGGAAAAGAGGAGATGGAGGGACGGCAGGGGACAAGCGGAGAAGTGACCAAGAAGGGAGTGAGCGTGGATTTGGAAGGTAGAGGGAGTCCGCATGACAGGAAAAACAGGAGTGGTTTGGGTGGGTGGGGAGTGGTCAGGGGCAATGCGGGAGAAGTTATGAGTGGTAGCAAAGGGGGTGGAATAGGGGGCAGCCCCTTGGGAAAGTTAAAAAGGGGAGGGAATATGGGGATGAGTGAGGTTCAGAAAGGAGGTGAAGGGAAGGAAGATGTGAGAGTGAGAGAGGAGGGGTGTGAGGGTGATGATGGTGAGGGGGAGGAGGAGGAACATGAGGAGGATGGTGATGGGGAGCAAGAGAGTGGGGAAAACGGCAGCATGAGTACAGGATCAGGGGGAATTTCAGGGGAAGAAGCATCAGGAGAAGGAGAGGGGCTGGCAGGAGGCTCAGGGGAAGCCTCAGGAGAAGCCTCGGGGGAAGCATCAGGGGAAGCGTCAGGGGAAGCAGGACCGGGCGGTGAGGATTTCGACCAATGGTTCCATTCTCTGGTGTTGGATGAAGAGGATGTGATGGCGATTGTGGGAGACTATATCGCAAATGACGATGACCTTCCGGCTCGCATCGCCAACTGTATCAACTCTGCGAGCATGCGAGGGGAGGAGGAGGAGGACATCAGGTGAGCGTGCGGGTGGTGGACGATGGTGATGGGTTTTGCGTTGTGGTTGCATTAGAGTGGGTCTCATCTCACACTCTCCTCTTACCTTGCCTTTTCCGTGCTGTTTCGCTCCTCCTTGTCATGTGTCCCCTTTCCAGCCTATCAAGTGGAGAGTTAGTGGAGGACATTCTAGCGAGTATAGAGGCCAACCCCCAGCTCGGGCCAATGCTGGGGCTCATGCCACCCAGCGGTCAGTCCGGAGCACCTTCACAAGAACCAGAGCCTTCTAGTAACGACACCAGGGCGGAACCGTGAATATGTTTTCTTGTGTTTTCGGCTTCTTTTCTTTTCTTTTCTTTTCTTTTCTTTTCTTTTCATGACTTTTTGTCTCCTTGATCCCTTTACTGCCCTTTTATACGGCACAAGGGCTACAAAGCGCTGGTTATTAATGTAGTCCATTGTCGGGCATTTATTAGCTGCGCTGACTTTGTATACCTGCTATACGCCGCTTATGATGAATGCAAGCTATAAGTCGGGCCAGTTTGTTCGAAGTTAATGAAAATTTCATGATGCACAGAAAGCTGGGATTGGAGTATCGCTTCTAATCAATGGTGTTGAAAGGGTTGGTTCAAAACTGCATATGTATTGTGTTAGTTGGAACTTGGAATTTACCATTCAGAGGACAGCGTTATCTGCCATTGTGTCAGCGTTTACGGGGTACGTAATTCTTCGGCTGGAGGGGAGTGTGTGAGGGGTGTGTCTGTCAGCAAACGCCACTTGAAACACGCGCCAGCAGAACACTGATTCTGTTGCCTGAATTGCAAGCATGGACGGGACTTGTGGCTGGGATGTCACACGATCCCGTCGATCACGGTGAATACTTCCCCCCTTCGTGGTTCAAACTTTCCACGCCATTAAAAGGCCGCGGTTGCCTTTGCTAGGTCATTCACACGTATGATGACGCGGAAGTTGCTCGAGAGAATTACGCTGGCTTGGCGCGCTGTCACTTTTTCTGCAACCATCTCAGGATCGTCACCAAGGCCGACCATGCCAGCTGTCTGGTGGATCTGCTATTCCACGCCCCCCGTGCAGTTTTCTTTGAACATGAACCTCAATTTTCACGGAACGAGGAGGTGGGGAGAGAGGGGTGGGGGAGGGAGGCGTTTCGTTCGTACACATTCGACGCGGCGGCACTTGGGTGCTGTTGCCACGCTTGTTTGTTGTCACACACAGCTGATGGTGGCAAGGGGACGCTCGCGGTTGTTGGTCGGCCATTCGAACGGGAGTGGGCGTTGTGCATATTTCCGCCGTCACCTGCGTCATTCTGTTCAACTCATGTATTAATTTTTTCCCCCTGACCACTACTTTCTAGAACTTCGTCCGTAAACCCCTTCATTCTGCGGAAGTATATCAGAAACAGAAAATAACAGAGTATATATGATTTTTAACAGGCAAAATAGGCATATGGAAACTAAAATGCATATGGGGGTATTTATGCGAGTATTTCCTGAAATTAATATCAGCTTCCACGACCCCTGCAGAGGCTGGTCTTCTGAGACAACCTCTCTCCACCAATCGCATCACAACAGGTACCGCAATCACTTTCGTGGACCAATCGGAAAGACAACGATAACTTTGTGCGACATTTCGGTTCAAGTTGGGCCAACAATCAGCCCAGAAAAGTGCAAATCACCGACCGAGTCGTCCTTCTGGTTTGGAGGGAAAGCGCGGAGCGCAGCGTACAGCCAATGTGACAGGGAATCGAAGCGCACATTGAGAATGTCAAAGCGTCTGTGGCTGTTTGATTTCGTGAAATGGGGGTGGACGCGGTAGTTTGGTGGTGTATGCTGATTTGCATCGCTTGCACTACGGAACACGCAACATAACGACAGTGTAAGGGATGCTTCCATAGGCCTCCCCACGAGCATCTTATTATTCGCACATCGCGCCGCGCCGCAACCGACACCACAGTCGCCTCAACAACAGGCCGTCTGTCACCTTCAAGTGAACGCTCTTACTTGTCTCACGAGAACACTTTCACTACAAAGCCGTGGCTTTTCGAAGTTCTGAATAGATCTCTGTGCATATCCCTCGCCTAAGCACGATATACGCCGAAGGATTACAGCCTTCCACGCGTGTTGCACTAATAGAGCTATTGTAGCATAAACTGTACGCGACGGACCCATATTGTTTCCAACGAGTGGTCTCTGAGTAGTACGATCTCTCGTGTCCTACCTCCCCGCGGCAGATTTCCGCCTTTCCGAGCGAAGTCCTCTCTTTCCGCCCATCCGTCCCATGCACCTCCGCCTTCCTCTCGCGGCATCCGCCAATCATCCTCCAGTTCAAATCGCCCGCAAGCAATCGTCCCGTGCCGCCGTCGGAATAACTACGAGTAGCGCTCAATTCAGAGGGTTCGACCCGCGACCGAATTCCCACGTCATCTCTGCCGCAACGCGGTCAGCTTCCGTTCGCGTTCCCATCCGCGTCTCCACCCCGTGCCGCATCTCAGTTCGTAATCCCTCGCCGCACTCATCGCCGCAAATCACGCTCCGATCCGTCACCGCATCCACCAGTATGTCTCAGTGGTCCCAAGAGGCCGTCCGCGCACCCGTCGGCGGTGCGATCAGCTCCCATCCACGAGGTAACGCGGCGTCACAGAAGAAAACAGTGGCTGCTACTAGTAGCTCTACTACTACTGCTACGACTGCTCCTTTTAGTAGCAGAGCATCAGGCGTTGCGAGACGGAGTAAATTCGCGGCTTCCGTCGCCGCGATTGGCGGATGGCGAGTGGGTTGGAAGGCCCCGATGATCGCGCTTCCCGCCCCGCGATACTACCATCAATCCCGCGCCTCGGAGTCGCGCCACGATGTCAGCTGGTCCTCCGCGTTCGGCGGACTCTCGGCGATCAGAACTTTCCCGACACGACAAGATCGTAAGATTAACCATCAGCAGCCGCAGCAGGAGTCACGAGTGTACCGTCTATATCGCCGAACCGCGTGTTGCGCAACCGACGGAAGCGGTGGCGAGCCCGGAATCGGCGGGGCCTCCGGCAGCTGCGGAAGCGCAGGCCGCCGCAGCAGCAGCTTCAGACGCAGCAGCAGCTCCGCCGGAGGTAGCAGCAATGGCGGCGGCGGCGGCCGCCGGAGTCTGGACGGCGCCGCCGCACCGCCACCGGCCCCTTGGGCGGCAAACTCGCTGTTTCTCCAAGGCGGGATCGTGCAGAGCACGCGCCAACACCACCTCGCGCCGACGATTGCGCCGATTAACGGTTTCAGCCGCGGGCGGAAGCGGTCGCGCCGCTGGTTAGTCCGCGCCGCCGCCGGCCTGCGCTCGTCTAGTAACGTCACGCTCGCCGTCGCGCTCACGCGGTTCGTTTCAAGCATGGACTTGGAGCGGGGATGCGCCGCCGCCAGTAACTCGATTTGCGGCGGCGGCGGCGGGGGCGGGCCCGCGGACGGATTGAAGCCCTGCGGAGAAGGCTCTGGCGAGGCTGGCGCGGGGGAGGATTGGCGGGAGGGCCGCGGAAGCGCAGGCGCAGGGGGCGCCATGAGCAGCGGAGCGGGCGGGAGAAAGAGCAGGCGGAGGAGGAGCGGCGCGTTTAGCCGAGGCCGGCGCGGCGTGGTTGCTGCGGCCGGCGCACGACGAGGCGCGTTTGTTCTTGACTCGGAACAGGTGCACGTGGACGGGTGGAAGAAGAAGGAGAAAGAGAAAGAGAAAGAGACGGGGAAAGGGCGTGATGACGGAAACGAGAAGGATAAGGAGAAAGAGAAGAGCGGTGGTATGACGAAGGAGTCGAAGGCGAAGGAGCATGGTTCCGGCAGCGAGGAGAATTCTTCGCTAGAGAAGCGCTTCGGGGAGTTGCTTTTCTGGAGAAGCGCGCCGAGCGCGCAACGGGGGGCCTCCGATCGTGTACGCTTGGGGGAGCGCGCGTCGAGCCGAGTCATCTGGACCGTACACGCTCCTCCACCAGCCGACGCGGCAGCGCCCTCCTTTTCGCCCTCCTTCTCGCTCTCCTTGTCGCCCTCCTCTTCCTCATCTTCCTTTTCCTCGTCTTCGTTATCTTCCCACTCGACACAGCAAGGCAGCGGGAAGAACAGCGGAGGCGGCGCGCTCTTCAACGAGTGGAAGGCGCGCTTTGAAGCGCTGCACCGGAGCATGCGCGCGGAGGTGGGCGCGGAGCGCTTCCCCGAGCTCCCCGCGCCGTTCCCCCTGGACGTGTCCGCGCTGCTGCTGCCGCGCGTGTGGTCTGCCCACGGTTCAGCAGAAGCTGCACCAGGAACATGGCCGCGCGCGGAGGAGACGCTTTTTGAGGCGCCTCAGAAAGAAGCTGCACGGGGGTCACGGCCGCGCGCGGAGGGGACGCCGCGGACGCAAGAGGCGGAGGAGGACGGGAAGAGCAGCGGCAGCAGCAGTAGGAGTGGCAGCATCGGCACCAGCAGTGACAGCACCCAGGGAGCAGTCTCGGCTGAGCCTGCAGCTGTTTCGGTCCCTGGAGCAGCAGCAGGAGCAGGAGGAGCAGGAGGAGCAGGAGGAGCAGGAGGAGCAGGAGGGGCGGTGATGGGAGGGGTGGTGCTGCTGAATGTGCTGGCAGCGCTGTACGGGACGTGCAGTGTAGCGTCTAAGATAGCGGACAGCCAGGCACAGGACATGCCCGCATCTCTCACTGCTGCCGTGCGCTTCATTGCTGCTGGTGAGAGGTCTGGGAGCGGTTCTGTTTCTTTTGTGTGATGGATTCAGGATGATGCCCAGTGGTTGTTTCTGTTTCTGTTTCAGTGTTTCTGCTTTCTTTTAGCTCTTTCTGCTGCTGCTTCGTTCCTTGCCTCTTACTTACCCTCCCCTCCCTCTCCGTCTCCTCTCCTTTCCTCTTCCTGCAGCGGTGGCGTTTGCTCCTGTCCTTGCCTCCACTCAACTGGGGAGCAAAGATGCAGCAAAGAAGGAAAGAGAGGCGGGAGACGAGAAGGCAAAAGTCGAAGAGAAGGCAGGCGGCGAGGAGGCATGGTGGAGGGACGGGCTGATCTGGGGAGGGGCGGAGCTGGCCGGGTGGAGCTTTCTCAGCTCTGTGCTGCTGGCACATGCGAGCTCGGATAGCAGCAGTGCCAGTGCTGTCATGCTCTACAGCTTCTCGGTACGTCCTGACTTGAATACACACGACGACTTCAAGCCTCCGTACGTGCATTGACGTGATTCTTGAGGCGCCTCAAAAATCACAGCAGCAGCAGTGCCAGTGCTGTCATGCTCTACGGCTTCTCGGTACGTCTTGACTTGAATACGTCTTAAAAGCCCTGCCTTGTTGCTCCTTTGACGCGTTCCTAAGCCGTGCTTCTTCCTTGCTTACCAACCTGCCTGCTCGTGTGTCCTTCAGCCGCTTCTTCTGCTCGTTCCGCCCTGTGTGTCAATCGTTGCCTTACTCTTGTCTCCTTCCTCTGCCCTCTGCCCTCTGCCCTCTGCCCTCTGCACTCTCCCCCCCTGCGCCCACCCACCCACCCACCCATTCAACCTTTCTCACCTACAGATCCTCTTCCTGCCGCTCATGCATCTCTGCACCGGTCGCTCCCTCCCGCGCTCCGCGCTCCTAGCCGTGCTAGCTGCCCTCGTAGCCATGGGCGTTCTCAACGAGCAGACCCTCGCATCCGCCGCCTCTCCCCTCCCCAACCTCCCCGCTGCCTCCTCCTCCTCCCTCTCTTCTGCCTCCTCAGCAGTCGCCGGCGGGCTTATCCCCTTTCCATCCCTCCCTTCGCTCCCCGCGCTCCCCTCCATCGATCTGGCAACCGTGGCAAGTTCGCTCATTGCCGGTTTGCAGATCTTCCGCTCCGAGGCTCTCACCGCCCGCTTTGACCCGCTGCGCCTCTCAGCGGTGCAGGCAGGGTCCCTGGCGCTGCTGGGAGTAGCCTGGGAGGCAGTGCACGTGGCTTCCGGAGGGGGAGCAGGAGGAGCAGGAGGAGGTTTGCACGGCGATGGCCTTGCTCCCGCTGACTCTGCTTCTGCTGTTGCTGCTGCCGCCGCTGCTGTTGGAGGGTTCAGAACGGCAGCAGCAGCAGAGGGAGTGGAAGAGCTGTTGGAGCAGCTGCAGCGGCTGCCATGGCTGCCGTTGGTATACGGTGGCGCTGTGGGTTCGGGCCTCTGCGCGTGGTTGGAGCTCTGTGGTTTGCGCAAGGTACCTGCTTCTGTTGCAATGCTGGTTTATACGACTATTCCGCTTTGGGGAGCACTTTTTTCGTTCACTGCCCGCGGCGAGGTGCCCGGGTTTTCGACTGCCCTGGGAGGCGGGATGATTGTGCTGGTGAGCCTGGTGGCTAAGGGAATGCTGGTGGAGGGGGAGAGAAGGAGGGGTGCGAGTGAGGGGTGGGGTGAGGAGAGCAGAGAGCTCGTGGGAGGAGGTGGTGTGGTGGAAGGAGCAGGGGAGGGATCGTGGAAGTGGGAAGAAAGGCAGGTGGAGAAAAGAGAGAAAGGAGAGAGGGGAGAGAAGGAGGTTGGCGGGAAGGCAGTGGGGTTAAAATGGAAGAAGGCGTGGGATTCGATCCTGTCCCGGAATAGCAGAGGTGCCTCCAGCGAGATGGCTAAAGATTTGGTGAAAGATTCACAAGACAAAGAGGGAAGTGAGGAGGAAATGGAGGAGGAGAAAGCGGAAGAGGAGGAAGAGGAGGAGCGGAGAGTTGGGGAGGAGGAGGAGGAGGGAGAGAAGGGCGCAGAGAAGAGTGAGCAGCTATCAGCAGCGCTGCTGACATCGCAGCTCAAGTTCCCGTTCTACGCAGCCCAAGCAAAACACGTGCTGCTGAAACTCAAGGCCAAGCTGGGAGCCACCAAGACTCTCGCTCTCGCACTCCCCTCTCTCCCCTCGCTTCCCACACTTCCCTCCTTCCCCTCCCTCCATTCCTTCTCCCCCTTCTCCTTCTCCTCCTCTGCCTCTTCCTTCCCTTCAGTTGCAACGCTTCCCTCCCCAGGTACCTCTACTGCTGCTGCTTCTGCTGCAGCTGGTAATGCCAGCTGGAAGGGGATAGCAGCAAAGGGACCTGCTCCTCCTGCCCTGTCTACTTCACCTGCTTCTTTCTCCTCCCCCTCCCCCCCTGCCCCCTCTTCTTCCTCCACCTCGTCCTTGACCTCTGGCTCACACCCAGCTGCTGCAGCATCACCCGTTACCTCTCATACTCATATTCCGACCAATGTTGTCTCTTCTGTTCCTAGTGCTGCCGCCAAATATGCTGATACTACAGCTACCGCCACCACCTCTACTACCACCACTGCCACTGCTACCACCACTGCCACCGCCACCACCGCTACCACTGCTACCACCAGCACCGGTGCCACTGCTGCTACGAAAGCTGCTGCTGGTGCAACGGCTGGTGTTGCCAGTGCTTCTGGTGCTGGTGGTGCTGGCACTGGTGCTACAGGGTCTACTAGCGGCACTGCTGGTGCGGGTGTGGCTATTACTGCCGACGGTGCAGGAGCAGGAGGAGGAGCAGGAGGAGGAGGAGGAGGAGGAGGCGGCATGTGTGCAGTCTCTGGTTTCGCCTCCTCTTCATCCTCCCTCTCCTCCTCTTCCTCCTCCACCTCCTCCACCTCTCTCCAGCCTATGACCGCACCAGAAATGCACGTCAACGCAGCTGCCACTGCTGCCACCACCACCACCACTGCTGCCTCATCGTCCCCTGCCCCAATCCCTGTCCCAGATGCCACTGCATCAGCGTTCACCGCTCCTACTACTCCTCCTCCTCCTCCTCCCCTTGCTCCTGCTGCTCCGATTACCCCTCCTGCTGCTGGATTCACGGGCTCTCCTCCTCTTCCACCTTCTCTGCCTGTGGGTGCTCCGTCGTCGGCAACAATCGCTGCAGCGGACGGACTTACTCCCACCACTCCTGCTCCCGCTGCCCCTGCTGCTCCTGTCACTCCTGTCACTCCTGTCACTCCGGTCGCTACTCCCACCACTCCCCCTGCTCCCACCACTCCCCCGGTTCTCGCGCCTGGGTCGATGCAAGCAGGAGAAGGGGCAGGGGCGAGTGCAGGGATGCAGAGCGGTGTGACAGCAGCAGCAGCGGCAGCAGCAGCATCCCCAGCCAGCACTACCAGCTCTACCACTACCACCACCACCACAGCCACCACCACCACTGCCGCCGCCACCAGCAGCACCCCTGCTGCCGCTGCTACTGCTACACCTGCGGCTACCTCTGCACCGGCTGATACCACAGCGCATTCCCTGCTCTCTTCCCCCGTGGACCCACTCTCTCACACGGCCAGTTCTGTATCTAAGCTTGCTGCTCATGCTCCCCTTGTCCCTCATTCGGCTGCTGCTGATGCTCTGACAGTGAAACTACATGCCTCGTCTGCCTTAGTATCTGCTGCAGCTTCCTCTGCTGCAGCCCCTGCTGCATCGACTTCTGCAGCTGCTGCTGCTTCTGCTGCCTCTGCTGCGTCTGCTGCTGTGACAGTGGCAGGAGTAGGAGCAGGAGCAGCAGGAGGGGGAGTGGGGGGAGGAGCCGGGGGACTCGGAGACATTGCCTCTGTGGCAGCTGTTGCAGCAGCAGGCGTTATACACGCTGTGGAAGGAGCAGCATCAGCAGCATCAACAGCAACGGCTGTGGTGGGAGAAGCAGTGGCGTCATCTGCTGCTGCTGCTGTCGGTTCCGCGGCCGATACCGCTGCTGACGCTGCAAACAGGATTGCACATGTGCCAGATGTGGCAGTAGGGGCTTTGGATGGTGTGGTTGCTGCAGTTTCTGCAGTGAGTGAAGGCATGGCAGGGGTGGCAGGAGCAGCAGGAGCAGCAGGAGCAGCGGCAGCGGCAGCGGCGAGTGCTGGAGCATCAGCGGTGGCGGCGGCGATGGCAGCGGCAACAGATGTTGCTGCTGCTGCTTCGTCGCCCGCAGTTGGAGGTGTGGTGGAGGGTGTTGTCGCATCCTCACCGAGTGTATCCCCTGCTGCTGCTGTGGAGAGTGTGATTGCTCCTCTATTGAGTGCTCCGTTAGAGCTGCTCGGTACAGTTGACGTGGGAGGGATAACTCGTGTTCTATTGGAGCACGCAGCCATGTAGTGATATGGTAGTTTCAAGTTGGAAGTCAGAAGCCTCTAGCCAAGCTATTATATGTACCTTAGTTATTTTATGGCAATCCATTGTACCGTAATTGCAGTTACTGTATTACTATTACTGCTATATGTAGCTCCTACATAAAAGCATGCAGCACATGCAAGACCCAGCAAAAAACCTCAAGAGGCTAAAAATTATTCTCGTACCGTCACCAGAGCTCATCACTCTACACTGTCAACTATATGTCAAGCTGGCATGTGCATGCATATGGAAGGAGCCACTAGTTAATGCATCTGGACCCTGGAGACAGACACCAGGCTAGATACTACCGTAAAACGCACACCCACCAATGCTTTTATTGTGAACGGTACTGCATGCCAATTGAAAGTTAGTTTACAGTATCATCCGTGTATCAGACAGAGTCATGAAAGTGGAAGCAGTAAAGTGCCCAAACAAATGACGCGCGTGTATGCATGCGTGTATGTGCGTGCGCGCGCACGCGCATGCGGAAATGGGCGTGTGGGCAGTAACATGTGAGGAGTCAAGTCATGCATCAGAGTCAGGCGCCTCCTCAAAGCGCTTCACGATTCTGCTTTTGAGTAAACCGTAGATCAAAAGAGAAGTCATGAGTCAGAGTCAAATGCTTCCTCGAAGCGCTTCATCGTCCGCTCCATTGAACTGAATTCCTGCATGCACAATCGCACGGGGAGGGATGGATGGCAGGCATGCAATTAGATGGGATTTGATGAGATGGTGATAAAATAGTGATGGGATGGAGATGGGATGGCTTGAAAGCAAGAAGACCAGCAAGCGGCATGAAATCACTCGTCGAACAAACAGGCAAGCACACACCACCACAGACAGGCAGGAGAGACGCAGACAGGACAACTAACGAGCACAGAGCGATAAGGAAAAGGGATTAGGGTTGATTCAAGGTCACACGAGAGGGCAAGGGATGATACAAGTGATAGAAGGCATGACAGAAGGCATGATGAAATGTGTGACCGAGGACGAGACCCTGCAAGGGTGTGAGCAAGGGTGTGAGCAAGGGCGGAGAGCAGCACGTACAAGCCACTTTCGCAAATGAAGAAAGCTCGCATTCCCTCCTTGCCCTTTGCTCGCCCTCATCCCTCCTCCTCCTCTCCCTTTTCCTCCTCCCTCTCCCCCCTCGCATCCTTCCTGTGCCTGCAGGGACTGTAAAAAACTTGCTGACTCCGATTCCCCTTCCCCCCCATTCCTTTTCTGATGATGCTGCTGCTGCTGCTGTCGCACTGCTGTCAAGTGAGAAAGGCTTTCGGGCAGCTTCACATCATCTCCCTCGGGCAGCTTCAAAAGCACGAGGTTGGTCAAGGCACTGAAGGACATTGGCAGCCCCCGCAGGTTCGGGCAGTCTGAAATAACAAGCTTGCACAGCGAGCGCAGTTTCCCAATGTTTTGGGGCAGGGAGAGGAGCGAAGGGCACTTTGAGGCGATAAGAATAGCAAGATAAGGCAGCAATCCGAATGACTGCCCGAAAGACTTCAAATGCGGGCACTCCTGGAAACTCAGCAGTTCAAGGTGTTTCAGCTGCCCGAAGTCCGCGGGCAGTACGACAATGTCGCAAAACTCGAAGGTCAGAACTTTGAGCGACGCCAACTGGTTGAATCCGGGCGGTAAGTGCGAAATCTTGGTCACGTCGCTCAAATGGAGGGCTCGAAGGCCAGTAAGCGCACATAAGTTTTCGGGCAGCCCCTGAAAATGTGCAAGATCCAGCACAGAGAGATGGCAGAGGATGCTTCTATCGTGGAGGTTAGAGTGCTTGAAGGGACGCAGGCGGAGCCTTGAAAGGAAAGGTATGCTCATAATGGACTGAAGTAGGCCAGGTAGGGACGGGCAGAATTCAAGGCTTAGAAAGCGCAGCTGCGGGCAGTGGTCAAAAGTTTCAGCTTTGATGTTGAGTGCGTCGCATTGGTAGATGATTAGGGTTCGCAGCATGGGCAGGGAAAAGAATCCCTTGGGCAGCCGCTGCAACCGCCAGCAGTCAGAAATGAAGAGGGTTTTGAGTTTCTCCAGCTGCCCGAGGTGTGCGGGCAGCTCAAGCAAGTCCCTGCATTTGGAAAGAGCCAGTGTTTTCAGTTTTGTCAGTTTCTGCCCGAAATTCGTAGGCAGCCGGGAGCAGCCTGAGGAGAGGAGGAAAAAGTGGCGCAACTCGGTCAGCGATCCAAGGGAATCGGGCAGGGTCAAAACATTTGGACATCCCAGAACCAGCCACTTGAGTCGTTCCAGGCTGCCCAAGTTGCTGGGTAGATACGAAATTCCCGTGCAGTTGAGAAGCTCCAAACGCTCCAGTTGCAACAGCTGGTGCATGGTGGCGGGCAGGTGAAAAATGTTTTGGCAGTTGACCAAATGGAGGGACTTGATGGACGGGCAGCTGAGAGCAATTTCATCAGGGAGGGAAATCAGGCTTGGTGTGTCAAGATAGAGTGTGGAGAGGCGTGGAAACATGGGAAGACTGGGACTCCATGGGGGTTGTTGATTCGCTGCTTCTCTGGCACCTGCTGCTCCTCTCCCTGCTGCTGCTGCTGCTGCTGCTGCTGCTGTTGCGGTTTTCGGCGAAAGCGGTAGCGATGGGTCAGGTGTGAGAAAATGGGCTGAAGAAAGCATGGGGGAGGAGATGGAGAGGCAGCGCAGCGACGCGAGGCGTTGGAAGGAATCGGGAAGGCACTCGAGAGAATCACTACCCACAGACAACTCCTCGAGGCCTGTCAGCATGCCCAAGGCTTCAGGTAGGAACACAAGATGAGAATCGCCGTCACCACTGCTGCTGCTGCTGCTGCTGTCACTGCAGCTGCCGCTGCCGCCGCCGCCCCTGTTGCTGCTGCTGTTTGGCTGGTGGGGGGACAGGAGGGTTGTTGGCGCCACCAGGTCGAAAGCAGTTGCTGCACTGCTGCTGAACGGGACACCGCCGGAAATTTCTTCCGCTGCTGCCCGTGCGAGCTGCCCGAGACGGAGAACGCGCAGGGAGGAGAGGGTTGAGATGGAATCGGGGAGTGTGAGGGAAGTGGGGGGGAGGGAGAGGAGGGAGAGGTGGGAGAGGAGAGGCAGGGAGGAAATGCGGGTGAAAAACAGGTCTAGGCTGTCTCGGGGAGTCTGGTGGTGGTGCTTGTGATGGTGCTTGTGGTGGTGGTTGGTATGATGGCTGCCGATTTGGTTCCGAGTCTTATGATCCGTCAGGTGCGTATGGAGAGGGGAGGCAGCAGAGCAGGAAGCGAGAGGAGCAGGAGGAGGGAAGAATGATGAGGGAGGCGAGGAAGGGGAGAATGGAGGAGAAGGGGGACTAAGAGGAGAAGGGGAGGGGAGAGAAGGGGAAAAAGGAGGGGAAGGGGAAGAAGGGGAAGAAGGGAAGGGGTGGCTGCATGGGCTACCATGAGTGTAGGGAGAGGCTGGAGGAGGAGGGGAAAAGGGGAACAAAACGCGTGAGACGGATGAGGAAGGAGAGGAAAGCGAGAGGGGAGCAACTGAACTAGGGTTCGGCTTAGGGTCAGAATAAGGAATAGGGTTAGTGTCAGGGTTAAGATTAGGGTTAGGCGGGAAAGAACACCACGGACCTCTATGTGCAGTCTGGGGTAAAGTCTGGTGAGGTGGAGAGATGCTAGGGATAAGCATGGCGTTACCCAACCACACCCCGCTCTCCTCCCCATGCCCCCCATGCCCCCCATGCCCCCCATGCCCATGCTCCCCCCACGCCTGCTCCCCTCCACTCGTATTTCCGCCAAATTCTCCCCCGATACGCCATTGCCCCCTTTCCCTTCCGCCTGTTCCGCGTCCTGCTTCTCTACCCGCAACTGCTGTGACTGCTGTGATTGGCCCTCCTGCTGCTGGTGCTTCAGTATAGAACCCTACCCCCGCTCCTACAAGAGCAACTGCGTCGGAATCGTCTTCCCCTGCTCCCCCTACCCTTCGCCACCCTGATTTCCGCTCCGCCCAGCCTCCTCCCCTTTCCCCCCCGCCTTCCCCCGCCCCTCCTCCCTTTCCCCTGCCCACTCCGCCTGTCCCTGACGCTGCCCCATCCTTACACCGCTTTCCTCCCTTCCGCCGCCATACAACGCTCCCCGGGGGAATTGTTAAGCTGCGGAGTTCCGCGCACTGGCGGAGAAGGCGGAGCACCGCGCGCAGGGAGAGCCCCGCGCCGGCGGGAAAGCAGGCGGAAACGAGTGATTGGCAGGCAAGGGGGAGCCAGGCGCGACAAACAAGCCCGTGCGCGAGGGAAGGGGGAGGGGGAAGGGGGCAGGGGAGGAACGCGCAACAGCAGCAGCACGGGGCGGAATGAGAGGGGAGCTGGGAGCGGGAAAAAGATTGGGAGTGCGAGTGGGAATGGGAATGGGAGTGGGACGGCGAGTGGTAGTGCGAGCGAGGGCAGAGCATGGAGTGGAAGGGAGGATGCACAGAGTTATGCCGCTGAACCAGGAAGAAGATGTAATGCAGCACGTCATCCGGCAATCTCAAGATGGGACACGTGGCATCATCTGATTCATCCACACCCGCGACATCCGTACGAGCCTGACACGCGTTCGAGGTAATATCACCGGCCCGAAACACCGTAAAGATATTACTAGCTACCTCTGGCCGGGCACCAAGGTTATCGGGAAGACTTTCATTGGCGACAGAGCGAATTATATTCCAATTGCCATCTGTGGAGTGTGTTCGAACCTCCGTGATTCCCGCCGTCAATTCCGACCGCGCGGACAGCGACGGCGCCGGGTCAGTGGGGGTGGAGGTGGCCGGAACGCTGCCGCTGCTGCTGCTGCTGCTGCTGCTGCTGCTGCTGCTGCTGCTGCTGCTGCTGCTGCTGCTGCTGCTGCTGCTGCTGCTGCTGCTGCTGCTGCTGCTGCTGCTGCTGCTGCTGCTGCTGCTGCTGCTGCTGTTGCTGGTGCTGCTGCTGTTGCTGTTGGCGCTGCTGTTGGTGCTGGTGGTGTTGGTGGCGGTGCTGGTGGGATTGGTGGAGGTGATATCTGGTGGCGGCCACGATTGGCCCTCACTCTTACCCCTAGCGGACGGCGTCATGTGATGCAGTAGCAACCCGCCCCCCTTCAAGCCCAAACACGAAGGGCTGACCCGAGACTCGCAGCGGCTGAGTCGCACCGCCCTACGCAAGGTTCCGCGGACGTTGCGCAAGAGGCTGCGACGCTGTAACGAGAGCGGAGAGGTGCTATGGGACGTGCGGAGGCTCACGACGTTGATTTAGCGCGGGAGACGGTTTGAGGCTTTTGCGGGCCTGATGCAGGGGACAGGAGGACACGGGAACACGGGAAAACGAGAGGATGTGGGAAAATAGGCGAGCAGGAAGACGAGAAAAACGAGGAGAAAATGTCAGAACGGCAGGATATGAAAGGTTGGGGAGTTTTTCTTTTGGCGTTGCATCAATGGTCCGAGACCAATTAAGAAACACAAACGCCGAGCACGCATGCATGCTTCAGTCATTGGCTCGCATGCTGCTCTTGTGAGCGCCTTATATTGACGAAAACAACGAGAGAACCAGATAAATTTGATGAAAGTCGCCGAAGCTTTTAAAGTCCCTGACCTTGCGGATACTGCTGTTCGCCATTGACCAGTTGACGTTGTCATCTGTGACCTGCCTGTTCTCACCGACGCGGATTTTTTCAGCACGAAGCGCGAATACTTGGCCAACGATTAGGGAGTAAAAGACTATCAACTGCGTGGACTACGCAGACGATTGGAAAAGAAAACCCAGGCAGTACACTGCGACGCGAGAATAAGTGTTATTCCAACATAGCTGGGCCAATTCTTGATGTGATGGCGGCGGCGACATTCCCGATGTGTGCTGTGGTGTGTGGTTTGGTAGATGTGAACTTATGAAACGGAGGTTGGCTTGGCTGGCATCGATGGCAGGCGGGACCACGATGAGTCGACGACGCAACTCTCCTTTACCTGCGCTGCGACGTGAAAAGCCAGCATTGCGACGTCGTACACGGATATCAAGGAGGCAGGAACCAATCGCAGCCCTTCGACAGCACGTCATTACATGACCCGTTGTCGTCAGCGCCGGGGATCTTGACGATGTTGCTGCCAGCGTGTCACCGTACAGCAGGGCAAAAATACGTGGGTGAGCCAAACAAGGAAGGTCCTGGGGCAATTACCTCCGCGGTAACACTCATTGAGCTCATTTGCATAGCTGTGAGTTTCGACATATTTCTTTATATTTTGTGGCGTTTGTTTGTTTTTTTTTTTTTTTGGAAAGACAACAGACACATAATCTTTACAAAGAAAAGCATCGCACAAGAGGAGAGGAACGGGAAAGAAAGACACCAGAAACAACTCAAACGCAACACCCATAAAAAGCCCCATAAAAATACTCTATAAAGAAAAAAAAAAAACCCAACCAGGATCCCCTACCAGACGTCCCATCTCGCACCCCATTCCCCCTCGCCCCCCCCCCCCCCCCCCTTCCCCCCCAAGTCACATCTGCACATCCACCATGTAGGGGGCCTCCACCCAAAGAGGCCCGCCCTCCACCTCGACATCGTCCCTCTCCCGATCCACCAAGTCCACATTCAACCCCCCCATGGAAGACGCCGCCCGAAGCAGGATGACACGAGCTTGCGCCCGTTGTAACGCCACTCCGATGAGCGCCTTCAGAGACCCCAAAAGGTAAGCCGAGAACGAAGTGTCATCCTCCCGACAAGCCCCCCGTGACACAGCTAGCCCCACGTGCGCGTCCCCCTGCTGTCGAAGCCACCGCCGGAAGCGACCGCCGAGACACCCCCACGTCTCCACTATCAAAGGGGTGAACTGCACGCCTCGGTTCCGTGCAAGAAGAGGCGCGTAATCCCCCGTTTTGCGACGCTCCCACTCCTTTGCCGCCACGCCTATAGACCGCCCGCACTGCCCTAGCAGAGATGGAGACAGTGATAGCGGGTCCGCGACACTAATCTCTAAAGCATGAGCCTCCCCAGCCATTGGTCGTCGCACCGCTACGTCAACCCGCTTCCCCGGCAGCACCGCACTATCCTCCATCGTCACCACCCCCCCTGACGCCTTAGCGATCTTTGCCACCGCAAACTTCACCTCATCATGCACCCGAGATGGACCGTGTTGGTGCTTGCATCTCAGCGCATGATGCGGGTCTGCTGGGTCATCATACGCTGCGCCACAAACACACTTCCCCGCCACTTGCAGCTGCTGGATTGGGAGACCAAGCCGTATAGCAGCAGCAATGCCCCACTCCGCTGCAGTGAATGTGAGATCTGAATGAGCCGGAACTGCCGAAACCCATGCACCAGCCCCCGGGCCCTGAAGGGATGTGAAACGGGCTAGGGTGGCATCGTCACGAGCCAAGCGGCGGAGTGCCTGGAGCTCCTCAACAGCCAACTGCCGCTGCCGCGCCTGGAAAAGCCGAAGAGGAGGGGCCGCCACACACAGGGGTAAGTCCGGCAGCTCCTGGCGTATAGTCGCGGGCAACTGCTCAATGGCCTTGGCAAACCACGGGTCAAGAAGCTCCGCCCCCGCCGAAGTGGTGAGGTACTCTGCGAACATCGCCTCCTCGCCCGCCACCCCCAAATGTGCAATATCCCGTGCGGCCTGCGCCCACCCACAAACATAGGAGAGCGGACTCAAAGAGGCCGCCGCCCGGATCCCAAACCCTCCGAGGCGCACAGGGAGATGCAGCTGCATGCGTGCGCGCCTAGACCTGCCGGGATCCTGCTCCCAAGTGCCAGGGGGGAAAAGCTGCTCAAAGCAATCCTCCAGACAGCTGTCCCACTCTCTAAAGGCCTCCACCACCTCCGGCCGCGGCGGCATAGTCCGGGCCAGGTACATCGGCCGTGCTGAAACTGCAATAGCGAGGAGATGCGAGGCCATCTGGGGGTGGTCGAGCAGGGGGAGCCACGGCAATGGCGCCTGCAACTCGCGAAGCCGCTTCCGTAATCGGGCCCCCTCCCAATCCTCCTCCCCAATAGGCACGCCCACCACAATAAGACCCTCCTCCTCCCGCTGCATCCCCAAAGGCAATGCCCGCTCCATATCCCCACCTCCACGCTCCCAAAACCTGCACTTGTGCGCCTGCACTTCCAGCCCCACCCACTCCAACCTCTCTCGCAGCACCCCAAAAGCCTCCAGAATCCTAGCCGCTGGTCCCAGGATGTAGGTATCGTCTGCATAGCTCAAGAAAAGTAGGTCCCTGAACTCTCTAGTCACCGTCCCCAGCACCTGCTGCTGCGTGAAAGCGAAAAGAAAAGGGCCGAGCGGGTCCCCCTGTCGCGATCCTCGTGCCGACTCAAGACTCTGTACGAAAGGGCCCGCTCGGAGGTACAGGTCGCTAGGTGTCCCATAGAAGACACGCAAGAATCTGACCGGAAAGAATGAGTAAGAATCTCCACCCCGGCCCTGGTGCCCACTCCCAGCTGGTTACACGGCAGAAAATAAGAAGCCATCACAGGGCGAAGCGAGATGCAGAGAGCTCGAGCGAGGATACGCGGAAGCACCTCCCCGATCGCCACCGGCCGGACGTCACCGTTGGGTTTGGAAAGCCCGACTAGGTTGGATGCGGCGAGCCAGGGCCGAGCTCGCTCGGGGACCTGTCCCGCCACCCATTGGTTGAACACTTCCAGCAGGTGGGAGAGGCAGGAAGGTTCCGTGAGGAAAGTGTCGCGCAGATGCTCTGTGACCCATCCCGATGGCCCTGCAGCTGAGGCGCGAGCAGCTGTGTGGATAGCTCTAGCCAGAATGTCGGTCGTGAGTGGAGGCCGCTGAGGAGCGTCGACAGTAAACTCACGAACCCACGGTGGTACCTCGCCACTGCTAGCTGGGTGCTTCCCTCGCAGCGACTGCACCATAGCCTCAGACGGTCGAGCCAACTCTCCTGCTGTGAGGCAAGACAAACCACGGCTCCACTCTCCCACTTTACACCGAGATCGGCACCGTGACAGGCGGATGGCCTCCGGGTCCTGGTCAGAGCACGTGTAGGCAAGTGGGCGAACTGCTGGCCGTGCCGCCGCCATGGCAGCGTCGAACAACTCCCGCCACCTCCCCTCCCAGAAGGCCCCCAGCCGCTCTATGATCAGCGCCTTCTGACCTATGCCTGGCTTGGGAGGCACGGCTAGGATGAGGCGCGGAAACGCCAGGAGTAGGAGGGTAGCAGCTTCATCTCCCGGTCGGCTCTTCAGCCGCTTCAAGATGCAACAGAGTGCGTCTAAGACCCCGGACCGGGCCCGCTGCGGGATCCGGCGCACTGTCCTCCCTCCAACCGCCTCCACACAGAAAAATGCCTCCCACTCCCATGACTTAACCCCTGCCCACGCCTCGTCCCCAAATTCCCGCGGCGTCGGTCGCTCCTGTGTGTCGGTCTCCACCAGAGACGGGATCGAGCCAAGTGCCTGCGCGCGTCTCTCCGCCTCAGCCGCCCGGCATACCCTCATGTGGTTCGCAGCGGCCCCTCTCGTGGCGAACGTGTGGAAACACGTGTCACACGGGAAACGGGGGCATGGGGAAGGCGGACTGGGTGGTTCTCCGTCCGCCTCTGACTCCTCCGCAGTCGCCATGGGGGTATCAAACTCCAAAAGTCGGCACCACTCCTCCAACTGCTGTTCCCGGTCGTCCATCGATCCCCCCCCTGCCTGCTGCGTACCCTGGGGTGCCCCGGGCACCCCCGGCTGCCCCCCTGCCTGCTGCTCTCCCTGGGGTGCCCCGGGCGCCCTCGGCTCCCCTCCTGCCTGCTGCACTCCCTGGGGTGCCCCGGGCACCCTCGGCTCCCCTCCTGCCTGCTGCACTCCCTGGGGTGCCCCGGGCACCCTCGGCTCCCCTCCTGCCTGCTGCACTCCCTGGGGTGCCCCGGGCACCCTCGGCTCCCCTCCTGCCTGCTGCACTCCCTGGGGTGCCCCGGGCACCCTCGGCTCCCCTCCTGCCTGCTGCACTCCCTGGGGTGCCCCGGGCACCCTCGGCTCCCCTCCTGCCTGCTGCACTCCCTGGGGTGCCCCGGGCACCCTCGGCTCCCCTCCTGCCTGCTGCACTCCCTGGGGTGCCCCGGGCACCCTCGGCTCCCCTCCTGCCTGCTGCACTCCCTGGGGTGCCCCGGGCACCCTCGGCTCCCCTCCTGCCTGCTGCACTCCCTGGGGTGCCCCGGGCACCCTCGGCTCCCCTCCTGCCTGCTGCACTCCCTGGGGTGCCCCGGGCACCCTCGGCTCCCCTCCTGCCTGCTGCACTCCCTGGGGTGCCCCGGGCACCCTCGGCTCCCCTCCTGCCTGCTGCACTCCCTGGGGTGCCCCGGGCACCCTCAACTCCCCTCCTGCCTGCTGCACTCCCTGGGGTGCCCCGGGCACCCTCGGCTCCCCTCCTGCCTGCTGCACTCCCTGGGGTGCCCCGGGCACCCTCGGCTCCCCTCCTGCCTGCTGCACTCCCTGGGGTGCCCCGGGCACCCTCGGCTCCCCTCCTGCCTGCTGCACTCCCTGGGGTGCCCCGGGCACCCTCGGCTCCCCTCCTGCCTGCTGCACTCCCTGGGGTGCCCCGGGCACCCTCGGCTCCCCTCCTGCCTGCTGCACTCCCTGGGGTGCCCCGGGCACCCTCGGCTCCCCTCCTGCCTGCTGCACTCCC